TGCCACTAAGTTACCCCAACATATCCATAGTTTCTTATACATTTTTTTGCTAATCTACACTAGAGAAGAAATACCTCGACTAATTTACATTGTGTCCTGGAAAATATTCACCATAAAAATTCAGCAGCAATTTGGTACTAGTGATGAATATCACATCTATTTAACTGAGTATCATGCTTCACGCAACCACATTTATATTAACATAATTTTTATGTCGACTAAATAATAATCCCAGGATGTGCCACATGCTCCATATCTCTCTGTTCATTGTGGAAAAAATCAATTCATATCATTTCTCCTATCTCATGTGTCAGGTTTGCAGTTCCTGCAGTCTGAGGAGCTCTTGTGAAAAAGCATATTTGCTGACAAATAAAGAGGATGAAGCTCGGACAATTGACGTCATGCGTATCTTACTCGCATATGGTTTTGATGCAATTGATGGATCGGTTGCAAACAAACCATTATTGAAAATGAAATCGGTGAAGGCAGTTGTTAGAAAATTGATCCATGATGTAGTCAAGCTGAGTGCAGTTCCAATAGATCCAAACCTCCCACCTCCGGTTATTAAGAAGCCTCCGCCAAAGGTGAAGCAACCACCTCCGCCTCCGAGAAAAAGAATTGGCCGAAGAGACGTTGAGATGAAAAAAGGGGATTGGCTCTGCCCCAAGTAGGTTTGACTATCCATTTTATTTGTTTTATTTGTTGTTTGTGATATTTATCAAAATCTGCGTGTTTGTATACAAATATATTTGCTCAAAACGATTTTTTTGGTTAACCACGTTTAATTTTGAAAAAAGTGGTATAATTAGTTGTTAGTGGGGCTTTGATTTTATGTTGAAATAAAATAATTAAAGTTGATTTGATATAGAAGTATGAGAGAGATTATATGAAGTGATAGTTAAAATTATGTGAGTGAATAAATAGTGAATTAAAGTTGATGTGATGTGTAAGAATGATTGGTTGATATTATTTAATTATATTGATAATACTGAGGATAGTGAGGTTGAGGTAAAGTTGAATTAGATGAGTATGGATTGAGTTTATTTATATATAAAAGTCTTTTGGTTATACATCTGTAGTATGCATTTCTGAGATATTGTCAACCAAAGTTCTTTTACTTTCCTTTCTTAAACCCCATTTCCACTTTCAGTTAAGAATTTGAAAAAATAGGAACATGTATTTTTGAGTTGTACACTAGTTTCCAAAGGAAAAACAACAACTTTGAAATCTGGAAACAATAATGTGGGTTATATCGGATTACACTTTTTATGCTAATCAAGGGAATAGTAAAAAGTGGCCGTGTGAAGTTTGTATATGTAGAATAGCATAATATCTTGATAGCATCACATATAATGCATCATAACTCAATGCCTAGTTTCTATTCCAGGAAGGTAGAATACTATGTAAAAGATCTTAGCCCACACGTAAATAGTTCATATAGAATATCAGACGACCAGACATAAGTGGAAGATCTTATAGTCGAATCGGAATTGTACTGTAGTATTTTATCTAATGCTATTTGACCTTATTCCTCTGATAGACAATGTTAGTATCCTGCTTTCTTCAGCTAATAAAAGGTTGCTAGACAATGTTGCTGTTCATTAAGAGGACTTGTCTTCAGCTGTCAGGTTGCTGGAAATTAGATATGTATAAGAAACCAAGGGTCATCATTTGATTTTTTTTTTTGTTGTTGACTTTATCTCAAAACATTTCTTTGTTTTCCTAATATCCATTATCACAGGTGCGAATTCTTGAACTTCGCGAAAAATACTGTATGCTTGCAGTGTGATGCTAAGCGTCCTAAGAGACAGTTGCTTCCAGGAGAATGGGAATGCCCCCAGTATGTCTTCCCTCTCTTCTCTCTTCTCTCTCTCTCTCTCTCTCTCTCTCTCTCTCTCTCTCACACACACACACACACAAAGCATATTGATGAATCATCCGATGTTTGTGCAGGTGCAATTTCTTAAACTACAGGCGAAACACAGCATGTTTCCATTGCGAGCACAAGCGTCCTCCCGACACATATGCCGAAAATCAGTTCGCCGAGAGTAATCATCACCTCGGCCCCAGAACCAAAACCGACCACCGTCTACCCAACAGGCGAGACGATGTCTCCAACGCCTGGAATTTCGATTTCGACGACAACGAATCTGATGGCGCTGATGTCGCCACCTTTGAGTATGCTGATTCTCAGAAAATCGACGAGGATTTCCAGCTCGGCAGTCGAGCTCCTCCGAAGGCTTTCGACAGGGAGTATCATCCCGACTCAGAGAGATCTGGGACGGGATTCAACGATTTTGACGATGAAGATGATGATGATATCGAGAATTATGAGGTAGTTTCGCAGAATGAAGCGCACAGGACTACGCCTAAGATAGATTTCTCGGAGCTCGAAGCCGACTATGAATCTGAAGATGATGTAGAAAGAGCGGAAAAAAATGATAATCGTCGAGGCCCGTCTCGGGGAAAGAAACAAATGCAGCGGAAAAAATCATCTTTCACGGATTCTGAAGATGTTGGAGTGGGGTTTGACACTGATGATGATTTGCCGGTTCACCCAGACTGGAAATCGAGCCATGTAAGTAATCAGAGGAGGGATAGAGGAGAGAGGCGTCCGTTGAATTTTGTTTCGGATGATGTCAATGATGATGATGATGATGAGGATGAACTTGGGTTCGGCTCGGATGATGACGATGAAACCGTAAGGTCCACAAAGATAGGAAACGGAAGGGGAGGCTCGAATGGAATGAATAGTAGGAGAGGAGGAAGATCGGGTTTTCGAGGTAAATTTTCTGAATCGGAACCCGATGATGATGACAATGATGTCACCTTAAGGTCCACAAAGAGAGTGAGTGGAAGGGGAAGCTCCAATGGAATGAATAGTAGGAGAGGAGGAAGATCGGGTTTTAGAGGCAAATTTTCTGAATCGGGATCCGATGATGATGATGATGATGTCACCTTAAGGTCTAGAAAGAGAGTAAGTGGAAGGGGAAGCTCGAATAGAATGAATAGTAGGAGAGGAGGAAGGTCGGGGTTTAGAGGCAAGTTTTCCGAATCGGAATCTGATGACGAGCCAAGTTATCGTCGTAATAATAATCAAAGAGATAAAACAGGCCGTGGAGGAGGCATGGCTTCTTTCAGGAAAGGATCTATGAAAAGAGATTTTGACTCGAACCCGAGAAGAAACAATAGAGGAAGTAGTCGGGATAATTCGTTTAACGATCAATCAAGGAATTTTAGGGATGGTAACTCGTCAAGAAAGTTTCAAAGCCGTGATGGTAGACAAGGTAATAAGTCATTTAACAAGCATGGAGGAGGAGGAAGGTCGAATTATCCGTCTGACAGTTATTTGGACAACGAACGACACCTAAGGCCTAGAGTTAACGTACGATGAGTTTTGTTTTGGTTTATATATGCTTTCACCTCAAATTTTATGATGTTAGGTAGAAAATAAACTGAGTCATCTTCATTTTAATTACTGCGGGTGCAGAGAATGAGATTAACTTGTTATGGTGAGTATAATGTTTTAGTTAACATTCTCTGTCAATTGCAAGTGAACACTGCCCTGTTAAATTTGTTCTATGATTATATTGCTCGACTGGGGATGTATTTATCTGCAAATTCAAATGCTTTTTGTTTGGATTTTTTGGTTTGTATGGTTAATTTTGAAAAGAAAAATGATATAGTGAGTTGTTAGTGGAATTTTGAGGTTATATTAAAATAATATTTAAAATAAAATAATTAAAGTTGATTTGATGTAAAAGTAAAAGAGGTGATGTGAAGTGATAGATAGTTAAAATTATGTGGGTGGATGAATAGGTAATTAAAGTTGATATAATATGTAAGAATGATGAGTGATATTATATAATATATTGATAATGTTGAAGATATTGAGGTTAAGTTAAAATTTAATTAAATTTGAGTTAAAAAATGTAATTAGTTAAAAATGATTGAATATTTTTGGCAAATTTTGTATTCAAACCATGAACTTATGTGCAGAACTTGCCCGGCTGGAGACTTTTGCCTGAGCGACTCAGGCTGAGGATCTTAGCTGGAAATTGAACAAAACATCGTTCTATTCTTGGATCATTAACTCTCGTGATTGAGCGAAATGTTCTCGGTTGAGACACTTTTGCAATTGCTAAAAGAATTGTCACACCCAAAATTATTTGGTATGATTTGTAACTTTGCTTATATCTAAGGGGGGCTTCAGTTTAATACAACTTTGTGACAAATTCTCAGTTTAATGCAACTTTGTTACAAACATCTACTTCTGTTTAATACAAGCCCTGAAAGTATAAATCCCTAGTCCCCATAATGTTCATTACGCATCCACATCAGCATTTGTAATTTAATGTTTAAATCCTGTAATTTGTATATCACTCAACTTCCCAAAACACGAATCTGGAAACCAAAATAAACTTGGAATTAGTAGTCCTAAAAGAACTTAAATTGCAAGTTCTCTTCAATTTTTAAGTGCCTCCAAATTCTAAATTTTTCTCAATTCAACTGTGAAACTTCCATTTTGTAATGGTAAAGGTGGTGAAATGCACAAATAGGTATCCTGGCAAGCAAACAGTTATATAAATTCTGGGGATGTATAATTACATGCAATAAATACGCAGCTCTAGCATATATTACCACTCACGTTCACCAATCTCACAAATATAACCAACATCAATTATAACATTCAAAATTCTCCAACTTTCCGGCAAATCATCATTCAGTACTTCCTTCCACACAGCTAATTTTTCTGTAAGTATACAAAACTTTCGAACAAGAATCCCACTGTCGAGCAAAATAGAATCACCTCCTGAACCTACTTAGAAAGTTCTGACCCTTGTGTGTGTATATGTATATATTCTTCGCTGGCTGAGAAACTTGATACTGTTTATTTAACCCCGAGACAAAAGAAATGGATCGTGACATTAATAATTTTAAGGGAAACTGAGTCGAAGAATCTTAAACCTAGGAACCAGTATATGTATGAGAATCTGTGGTTATGTGTCACCAACTTTTTCGCCAGGTGGCGATCCAGCAAGCCAACCCCATACGCCACCTGAGCCCTGTCTTTGTTTAGCGCTAAGTGCAGCCTGTTCAGAAGCGGCTTTTTGTCGTTGGAGGATTTCGAGCTCCTTCTGTAAAGTATCCATCGTTTGCAGTTTCTGCCTTAGTTCCGCAACATCTACCTGTTAGATCAAACAACATTAATTAGCGGCTAAATTGCATTTTTAGTCCTGCTGGTTTAACGACATAGCAATTTTAGTCCCAAGATTCTAGCATTTCGTATTCTGGTCCTGAAATTTTATATCTTTGGGATGGATTTTTTACTAGCAATTTAAGTCATGTAATTTAAAATTTTATTGCAATTTTAGTCCTGTAATTTAAAATTTTGTTGCAATTTCAGTTCTCAAATGACTGAAATTGCAGCAAAATATTAATTCGCAGTACAAAAAGGCGAAAAGTTGGAACATTGGGACTAAAATTACTATGACGTTAAATCAACATGACTAAAATGCATTTTTGCCTTAATTAGCAGACAAGCTTTTGGGGATATTGGAACACATGCAGCCAACCAACCGGGCCATTTTGAAATAGTGGTAACAATAGCTAATGCATCCACGAATAATTTCTAGTGGCATTCATACTACATTAGATTGAAGCTCTTTTTCAGGAGCTTGTTCGGATTCCAGTAAACAAGGAGACCCAGATTACTCTCTTGAACAATTGTTTAAATAAGAAAGGATCTGTGGCCTCAGAAAAATAGGCCAGTTGGATTGATTATTTTATCAAGGCTGAGGTGTCTGAGAAATATAGCACTAAATTTCAAAGTCAATTCTGAAAATATTATGTATATATACAACTATGAGTACACTTATATTATTTATATAGTTATCAGTGCAGACAATCTTCAAAATATGACTCCTAAAACACCGGAAAAAACCCTAGGCTTAAGGTGAAGAAGTGAAGATGGACACAAATGGTGGAAAGAAGGATAACTGATACATTACATCCAACAAATATGAGAGTTACCGAGTTCAACTTTAGTGACTTAGAAAGGTAACAGAAATTCATGTGAAAAGTTCGTCAGAAATAGCAAATAAGTGTATATCTGAACAGAAATGACACATACCTCAAGTTTGAAACATCTAGATTGCTCTGCTGCAAGCTGGCCTCTCAAAGATTGAAGTTCCTGCCATATCACGTGAATCTTATTCAAAAACAATTTTATTCTGATAGAAAATTAGATTGTCATAAATGTATGACACTTGTGCCTAAGGTAACACCATCTTTATAGATTAGACAGAAAGAAAGGCAAAACTTGCATGTCTATTACTCAGTCAGAATGTTCTTCTAGCTCCTTAATGTTGCACTCAATCCAGTCTGTAAGTGCTCAGGTAGATAGGTTAAACAATTTTCTTTACAGAAAAGAAAAGTAAAGAATCATGCTTATGCTATAGATTTTCCAGTTCAATTCATCAAATAAATCATTACAAGTTCATCTCCCTGAAGCATTAAGCTAACAATAGCTTTCAATCCTTTCATATGTTCATTTCTGCACAACTCTGCCTGAACAGATATTGCCTCCCCTCACATGCAACGTACATTTTTTCCCAGTTATACATTCAAATAATGTCCTAAGATATAACCACTCTCGTCTAGTGCAATTGCATTTATTCATTTCTATATTAACAAGGATGTTGCTCTAAGAATGTACCTAGATCTAATATATATATAAAATATTACATAATTTTGTCTTTGTTTTAAAACCTCTAATCTAATGAGAAAATTCTACATGTGTATAATTAACCAGTAAATAGTCATATACTCCATAGCCATTGTACCGACATATCGACCTATCTCCGAATTTGCACCAGCTCAGACCAATAAATTTTATGCATTAATCTTATTGCAGTATTATAATCTAGAGAATTGTATTTGGTCATGAAGGTTTACTAACTGACAAATATAAGTAAACGTGTTATACAGCATATCAGCCACCCGATCACCGCCTAGTTGCACCTTAGATTCATGAGACCGAAACTTAGTACTAAAGAAATCATATCAATTACCACTTTGAAATAAATCAAGAATTAACACAAAAATTACCTTGTATAAGTCTGTGTTGCGAGTTTCAGCATCCGTCAACTCTTGCTTTAACTGAAGGGTCTGCATTTTCTCCGTAGTGAGAGATGACTCTAATTGTTCTTTCTCTGTCTTAAGGGCTTCTAAAAGACGATCACTTGTCTCTTCGCTCTTGCTAATCTGTGCAAAGTACAGAAATATAACTCACAAATTCTTCAGCTATATGTGCACTTCAATGTAATCCTAGGAATGTATATAACTTATTACATGTGGGAGCCCCACGCATTTGTAAAAGTTTTCTGAAATACACAAGACGTGAATGAGCACTCTTATTGAATGAACAAGATCAGGAATGTAATATGTACGCCGGCATAAGTCTAGGAATACAAAAACTTATTACACGTGGGAGCTCCAAGCATAGGTAACAATTTTCTGAAATACGCAACACATGTGAATGAAGCCACATATTGAATGAACAAGATTGGAAAGGTAATATGCATTCTGACAATTCTAACTTTTCTTAAAGTATATGCATTTTCATCTCCATTGTGAAAATTCATATTATAGTCACTTTACTAATATATTAACATTTCTTTCTAAGTATAAGCATATTTTGGTTCAGTAGCTGGAGCAAAGTGATTATTTTCGTGTTTTATAATTGATGTACTTAAAGAAGAAAATTAATTAGTTAAGATTCCCTGACAGCAAATGTAATGCGATATTTGCACTTGTTTCAACTAATTACCATATAACACGAAATTCAGTCATCAATAATGTTTCCCATCGGATAAATTAAAAAGATTTGAAATACGTAATCTGAAGACTGTCCATGTGAAAATACTATCATAATCACAGCAATAGATGCTGGTAAGGAGTTCTACATAATGCCTACCTTTGGTTCAGCATCAATATTGTCCACACCGATTTCCCTTATTTTTCCTTCTTGACCTGTCTCAAGCTCAGATCCCAAATCTCTGGTAGCACTAGTGACATTTTGAACAGCTGATACACTATCAGGCACTACTGTCACCATCTTTGATTGCAAAGTTGATTTATGACTTGGTTTAAGTACATTAACCTGATGGCAATAATTAAAGCCATTTTTTCAGGGATTGAGTGAACTGAAATCATTTCCAAATCAAACAGGCAAAAGTAAAAGGGTTATCCAGACCTCATTGTTGTACCTCCCATTGTATCCGCCAAATGAGACTAGCACATCTTCACCACTGAAAGAGCTAAGGACTAAACTCAAACCCTGAAACCAGTAGAAGTAAATTAATTTCACTGGCTATTGTTGACTCACGGTTAAAAATATCTGAGAAGGAACAAATTTGTACACTGTATATTCAGAATGAACGAAAACTATGGTTCAGGTAGCTATTCGTGCACAAATAATTACGAATCCCTATAAGGCTCATCAAAAGAGAATTTCATATACATTTTGCAGTATGGTGGGAAATAATCCTAGTTTATGGACTCATTAATTAAGGTCCAGAACCTTTCTGCCGAAATATTAATTTTCAATAGTGTAAAAGAAGCTCAAAACTTTTGATAAAAAAAAAAGTAGAAGCTCAAAACTCCCTTTTTTATTGCGTCATGTTCCAGAAAATTCGGACGTCGGACTTCAAAAAGTTCATTTCGAATTCAATGCACCAATTAGGTAACATAATAATAATAATAATAATAATAATAATAATAATAATAATAATAATAATAATAATTAAAAAAAATCATCCTTCATAATAAAATAGATGCACAGGCAAATATAGAACAAACAATAGAAGTCCTTAACTATAATCAACTGATATCTCAACAATAATACCTCGCTAGCAAGAGGAACACGTCCTTGGACAGTAGTTACAATCGACCAGACCAATGTGGACATGTTGAGGACAACAGTCTCTGAGACTCCTGCATGCAGTAGTAAGAAAATGTGAGTGTTCTTCTAAAATCGCATGTGTTCCCCTAAATTAGGAATCCGGAGCTGGATCAAAAGCATAAATTAGAGTTGGCCTAAGAGAATACTTTAAATTATCACAGTATGTAATTAAATTCTCAAACTATATGATATCTGAATATCAAATATCAACATTGTTATTCGACCACAATATCAAACTCTGGTGAAAAGCTAGTGGTATTACAATATTGAAATAGAAATCATCTATTAACATGGAAGCTCATTTTTCACCATAAACTACAAAGAATCCTAGTTTTATTTGGAACAGCTAAGGGGACCGGAAATTAAAATATATAGCATGAGAATCCAACATACATTAAACAAAAATCTCCAGAAATGAGAAAGTATGGGCACTCCAGTAGATTGAAATATGTACGATTAAATACTGCAACAAGATGAATCTTTCAGTTGATGCTGTACAATGAACTATAGAAAACAGGAGTGGTCTGATACAGGACCATGCAAAAAAATTATACAAAACTTTCTATATTGCCATCTTCAAATTCTACATTTCTGCAAGAAGAAACCCTAGGTTCTCCAAGGCATTTCACTTCATGATCATAAGGAAGTACCCAATGGAACTACATGTCGTTTCCAATGAACATGAAGTCTCAACATGAACATTGATTAGCCTCCTCCGCCTTTAGGCAATGGCAATAACTAAGAAAAGCATCAAAACCATACTAATATTTCTTTTCTTCTTTTGTTTGTGCGTGACAGGGTACAAGAAACAAGTGAATTTTATAAATAGAAAACCATACCGCTCTTATTGTTCCCCCCACCAACCATGAACCAATTCTCTCCAATTGTAACACCAGCATGGCCAGCACGCGGACTAGGTATCTCACCCTGCTGTGTTGGTCTTGACCATTCCATCTACAGCATATAGAGGACATTATAAAACATGACCAAGAAACCATGTATTGGAAAAATTATTGAAATGAAACATAGAGTACTTAGCGACAAATAAAAACTAAAATTTTCATTCATCTCACAGTTTTAAGATCAAGAACGTGAAGGTCATTAAAGCAAGTTGCATGTGAGCCGCCACCAAAAATAAGAAGGTAACGATCTGCATGTACTGCTGCAGCGTGATCAGACCTAGGAGAAGGTGGAACCCCCCTACAAAATTAAGGCAATCAGAAATAAGTTAGATGTGCAAGTTTATCAACTAAAACCACACATTTACTCAAAACAAATTAGTCCAGAAAAGGCATCAAAAAAATGATTTGTCATATATTGTTTTTCCATGTGCGTCAAATCTAAAATGAAGGTTACAAATAAAAATACTACATCACCCAACAGCTGAAAACCCTAGATACTGATGGGACTTAGAAGAGAATGAAAAAAGGAAAAGAAAAATGAGAACCACATATCAAGATGCTATAAGATATCTTTCTCCTATAAGACAGATGCATTTGCATGATAAAAAGCATGATCTATAAAACAAAATCCTACGTGTTTTCTGTAATGCTTAGTCGAACAAACAGATGTCAAAAATGTGCACTAAATTCTGGAATATCCTTATCCCAAAGGGTTTGTGATTCGTTGTAGTTGTACAAACAGACTAGAAATACAGTCTGAAATCAAATAATTTTAATTCCTAAGTTTTTATAAAGAAGAAATCATACGCCATCTCCATTTCATCCCAAGTCATGCTTTCTAAGTCCAGAATGTGCAGGTCATTTAAAAGTGATCTCTTTGCATCCTGTCCGCCAAATATGACGAGAGTCATTCCCACGAGGGTCGCTGACTGTCCTCCACGAGATACCTACAAATCACAGACAAGCATTAGAACTACTCAGAATAAGTATAACGGACTTCATCTCTGTACAAGTACCAAACATAAATTCGTGAAGTTTCCGGACATCATAACATGGACAATCCATTGTGATAAAGCTACCAAGTTTGAAACCTTGGAAAAACTGTAAATGCTTTAATCAAGAACGATGTCTTATAATGCAGTAAATGGAACTGGCATACAGTCTGATTTATTACTTAAAGCCAAAAAGATAACCCTTGGATAAATAATGATATACCGGAGGCTTTCCATAAGTCTTCAGCGTAGACCAAGTACAAGTTTGCGGGTCAAACACCTTCACTGGCATCCATAATAAATTAACGTCACATTTCAGAGGAGATACACAAGCACACTGAAATAGGGACATAACTTTTTATTATTAAAACAAATGGGTTCAATGCAGTTGCAATATTTCAAAATAAAAAAAAAAAATTAAAAAAAAAATAATAATAATAATAATAAAAGAAGAAGAAAAGAAGAAAAGAAGGGAATGCAGATGGCAAAGGCAAACACAACCATATGCAGGTAAAAAGATAACTAGAAACACATTAAAAATAAAAATAAAAAAAATAACGCAAAAATAGGTTGAAAAGGCTTCAGATGTTTAAATAGAGTTGAAGTTAAGGAATTCAAAATTTTTAATAGCAAAGCCATTTAAAATGGTTATCCAACTAAATAATAATGGACTTCAAAATCCTTGAGCTTTTGATTTTTAATCTACTTGGTCAAACCATTTCTTCACACAGCTTTGGCATAATGATTAGTGACCAATATTTAAGAGATTCTTTATATTCTGTTCACCCTATTATAGCCTAACATATTAAAATAGAACAATAGGACAAAAACAACAAAATCACTAGAATTTGAGATGAAAACCTTGTAATGTTTCAGAAGGGTCCTTTGTATGTCCAGCGACTGAAAGAAGCTTCCCATTCCACGGTATCTGCAAAGATAACACATAAGCATAAGCATAACATACAAGGATAAAATAAATACTTCCTATCTACTAGTCCCTTTAAATGTCAAGGAGTTTCATCACATAGGTAAACCATTATTCCAAATACTAACCAACGAATGGCCGGCACAAGGAGTTGTCCCTTCCTGAACTTCAACTTTGGACCAAGTCCAACTTCTCATATTCAGAACCTAATGCAAGAAAAAGAGGATTTAAGAATGTCGAAACTTCATCATCCTCTACGAGAAGAAAGCTGAAACTATATAATGTAATTACGATCAGTAATGACATAAATCCAACGTGATTCGAATCAAAAGGCTGTTACAAATCCCGGGTACAACCTCTACATATTTCTAAAGTAACTCTCCGATTTGATTTGCATGCTCAGATTGGAATATTTCCAGGGATTTAGCGGTGGATAGGAGCGCTTGGAGGCTCGCTATCAACGTGCCAGAACCGTGACTTTTGCTCCTTTTTCTCTCTCTCTCTCTCTCTCTCTTTTTTTTCGATCTCTTCCTTTCGGTTCGAGTCTTTTTGTGTTTCTCTTGGGTTTCATCTCTAGCCTACCCCGACTTGCTTGGGACTAAAGGCTATGTTGTTGTTGTTGTTGTTGTTGTTGTGCTCAAAACTTTACTAATATTGCATGTACTGTATTCAAGGCCCAAAATATAGATACAGAACTGTTTCCAATTGCAAGACATGGTACTAATGACATATGTAACACATATATGCAAAAAACTTTAATATAGTACCTGAAGATCACTTAGGTAACGACCATTGTGGTTTCCACCAAATATGTACATCTTATCCTCAATAATAGCTGCTCCATGCTGTTGTGCATTTATTTATTTTTATAAAAGATATCATGTTTTAAAGTTGAAAAAGGAGAAGTATACATGTAAAAGAAGTACAATAATGAGAGTACCTCGTATCTGGCTTTTGGACGCGGGCCAGATATTGGAGGTCCAATCCACTGGTCATATACACTAACTACCCCAAGACCCTCCAATACAACATCTTTATCCTGTGTTTCAGAGAGGTTGCCATTTTCAATCGGAACAGTCTTCACCTCTAGGATATTGTTTCCATTTTCGGAGACGGCCACTACTTCTGGGCTATGCTGAGCCAGCAGGAATAAAAAAAATCTAGGTCAGAAATTATATATCAAAACCTAAGGAAGGAATCCAAGATATAAAATCTGCATTTTTTATACTAAGCATTGGTTTGTGTCTATTTTTATTTTACAAGGCATTTTGTATTGGTGAAGGGTGGTGGTTTGAGACTTTGAGGGGAGAGATTTGGTACAGACTTGTTGCTAGATCACTTATGGTGATAATTCTGGTGGTAGATCTATGTATAGGGAAAGGAATAGAGAACGCAAGAGGGCTCTATCAGCGTTAAATGGAAGGGTGGCTGAGTTGGAATGGAGCTGCGAGTGAGTAGTGACAAGGTTGATGATTGAAGGAGAGGGGATGGAGAAGAAGGGTGACTTCGATGTTTAGTTTAGGTGTATTGTCTTATCATATAGTTCATTTACAGTATAAATAATGTTCAACATGCAGAAAAGTAGAGATACTCTCGAAACTAACAAGCGCGAAATTCAGAAAAGATTTCCAAGTGAAAAAGTAGACCAAGTTGAGCATTTTCTAGATATGCCCTCATTTTACGTTCCTCCCAGAGACCAATTCACTTATAGCATCTCTCGAATCCCTCCACCCCAACCCCACCCCCCAGCTTTCACCAGACAAGCAGTGTAACGAAACAACTCGACAAAAGTATCAAACTCTGAAACCCCCACCTTTCACCAGACAAGGACTGTAACTGAACACCTTAATGAAAGTAACAAACTCTTAAGCACCGATTTCATGCTGTCATTACTTCTAGAATCTGCATATACATTGAATTTCAAGGTACAGTAAAAATCTGATTTTCTATTCAATTGTGGGTTTCGACCTTTAAGTTCACGTCTTCATAGACAGTTTCATTTCTATGGATAACTAACTATACAAGGATATATATACCGACGGCCTAAATGTGCACGCTATTATCTCTCCTCCATATTGAAATTTGAACATATGGATTTTTTTTTGTTTGACTACAGATTTTTCATTCATATTTCTACGAGAATTAATGAACACAGGCCAATTACAAATATCAGTTCCTAAATGCAGTGAACCCTCACAGTAATGAAATAGGACCAAATATATGTCTCTCATACTGCATTCTAAGAACTTAAATCATTGTTTCCAGTAATTCACTTTTGTGTCTAGCAACACTTAATAGTTAATACATCAACAGCCTCTCTACTAGTCAAATTCTCAGATTCTTAGACAGACTGGGAATCTTTCATGATTCTTAAAATATGCACACAAGCAATTTAACTAACGAAAGATACTTATAGAGCATCATTATCAAATAAACCTACCACTCCGACCCACTGTTTGAGATGAAAAGAATAAAGGCTAGTTTTGTGCTGTGCTAGACATAGTCCAGGACGGAAGTTTAGCACCACCATCCAGGAGGCCAGTTGTTGCTATCTAACTAGTCCATGAATTTAATAAATCGCTATAGTAGACATCAACAAATTCGCCGGTTGGATAGAGAAGAGCTCCCCTCGTACCTCCTGATCTACACCACCCTTGTCTTTGCCCATGAATTTAATAAATCTTTAAGTACAATCAGCAATGAGCGGTCTCAATTTTAACCAAATTAGCTAAACTCAATGTGCTTCCATGAGGGTGAAAACAGTTCAAAGTTCAAACGGCTAAAAACTTCCTCGAATGACACTGTAATATTATTTGATACAACCTGAATTTGATGTGTAATCTCCTTAATGATGGACTTTTGTTAATGAAACTGACCAATGAAGGCAGTGAGATTTGAAGGCATCTAATATTCCACTTTCCTTGGAGGTAAAAAGTTAAAAAACAAACTTTTACAATTTATAAATAAAAAAATACAAAAAATAAATAAATAATGAAAAAATTAATAAAGGCTCTGGTAAAATTGAGGAAACAGCACAAAAACATGCTTATGAAGCGCTGATCGAGTTTCAATTGATGCTGAAAGTGCCTAGCATACTGTAATGAGGATGCTGGGAAGATGTGTCAAATTCATATTATCTTAATCCGACTAGTTCTTCTAGCTATCACTTAAGCAACTACTGCAAACTATTAAATGTCAATGTGCTTCCTCTCAATGCATAGTTCCAAAACCCTTCCCTACAGCTCCAATGATTATTAGGATGATGAACAATCTTGACTTCCTATGAGTGCATCAGAATCACATGAACTAAAAGAATCCACCAAAGCAAAAGCAAGAAATCCAATCGAAGTTGCTAAAGGAGAAATATGCATAGCCAGACACTGAAGTGCAGTATGTAACTACTATATCTTGTAGTCGGATAAAAAGAAATTTACATGCCTCAAATATTTCTTAAAATTCAAATCGACCAAGTAAAATTGAGTTTTCATAAGAAAAAGGGGGTGAAGGGACCAAAATTATACAACGTAGCAAAAGATTCATAATATTATAAACTCACGTTTAATTCAACATCTTGATTGGGCTCTGCAACAAAGTTTGATACTCTTGAATACCATCCTGGATCGTCCTCCTGTTCGGTATATTATAAATTGTAATATTACAATAAATTGCATTATGAGATCTATCATAAACATTTTTCACTGACCTCTAATATTTTGACAAAGAGGCGCATTGCCTCAGTGGAAGCCATGTTTCCAAGTTCATTCCAGCTTCAGTTCAAACAACAGGAAATCAATGTAAATACATTAGAAAACAGAACTAGCAAATCATTTCCATATAAATATACATTACACATCGAAGATCCCATTATAACTGATCTGACATGATAATCATGCAATCTTATTCCATTCAAAACTTAGCAAAAGTTCAACTATATACAGGAAAAGGCTAGATTAATATATCAGTGTCACACCTAATTGATTAATGAAAAACCGAAATGACATTCAACGCAAGCAGAAACAGCTTTTCATGAAAACACGCTCATCGGTAGAAAAAATATATTAGTTGTCTCAAATATTTGAAGTGCACAAGTCCAACCAACCAGAATTCTCCAACTTAGCAGGAGACATACCAGCTCTTGTTCAAATACTAAAACGTTATTTGACAATATATTTTCTTTAAAAAACATTATGATCAAATCAATGAATGAATGCTACGGAGTTCGTTCACTGCAAACCTTGTCCATTTGCTTTGTTCAATAGGATTCCAACCCCTAGGCTTAGGAACGTTACAAGGCCCTATAGCTGCCTGCAACAACCAAAAATACAGTATTATTTGCAAGTAATACCTAGATCATCTCAAGTTATATGATTATATGAACTCATAAATTGGCTTGGAATCCATCATTAGATGCTGACTTGCCAAGAAAGCAGTAAGAAGAGTGTTTTCAAGGCCCAACATGGATACAAGCATGACTGAATGTGATATTGTGCTCAAGGCAATGTTATGAAGCTACTAAATATTGAATAGTACACTGGAAATGCAGAAACCCCCACAGAAAATGAAGATGTTTCTCCATTTTTAAAAACCAGTTTAACACTGTGAATGGAAAATAAATCTAGATCTCATTGGAATTACACATCCCCAATACGGGCTTTGTATGTCAAATATTAGCTTGTGATTTCTAATAAAATATAGACAGAGCTTTAAAAAGAGGCTCAACAATGGAAACAGCATGACCATGGAAGCAGATCAGGCCATTTTAATTAGCTAACTGTGCATTGATATGACTGCTGAATCTCATTCAATCATCCAAATTTCCTTAGAAAAATCTGAAGTGTAATACACAACACCAGTAGATCAAAAGAAATTCAACCGAATAAGTTGACACCATTTCTCGAGCTGCACAAGCACAGGCGAAGAACATGACAGATCAGTAGATTAAACATGAAACAGCTAAAAACCTGCTGATAAAGGGCGTAGAGGAGCAGTGCAGTGTCATTTGAGAACTTGGAGGTAACGCCTTTGGCCGCGGTGTCTGGGGATCCGCCAAAGCCGCAGTAAGTCGCTGCCGCATAGAATCGATCCGGATAAGCTAGGCCGGAACCTGCCTTGGCCATCGCTGCCATTGCCGAGTTCACCAACGGAATCGAAATTTCAGATCGACGAATATGTGACAATTTCTCTTGGGGATATGCAGAATGCACCTATAAATTAGAAAAGCTGTAGTATATTGTTAGGTGTGCATTAATTTATTTATCCATGTATATAATTTTGGAACATGTTTGAGTCACTGCAGACTCAATTGTTGGTTTGCCACAAAATAATGCTTTTAGTGTGATTTCAAGTACCCATAGCATTTCTCAATGTATAAAAATGGTACAAGTGTATAATAAAGGTGTACATAACACTCACTTAGAGTAGAGTACATTTGATTTTTTATTGAAAATGCTACATGTACATAATAAATGTACAGATATACATAACACTCACATGGAGTGGGGTCCACTTGATTTTTTATTTTTGATAGGTCCCACTCAATGTGACTGTTATGTACACCCCTATCCCTATGTACAATATTATGTACCTATAGCATTTCTCATTTCACGGATTATGAAGATGTTGGAGTGGGGTTTGACACTGATGATGATTTGCAGGTTCACCCAAACTGGAAATTGAGCCATGTAAGTAATCAGAGGGCCATGTAAGTAATCAGAGGAGGGATAGAGGAGAGAGGCGTCCGTTGAATTTTGTTTCGGATGATGTCAATGATGGATGATGATGACGAGGATGAACTTGGGTTTGGCTCGGGTGCTAACAATAAAATGTTAACGTCCACAAAGAGAGGAAGCGGAAGGGGGGGCTCGAATGGAATGAATAGTAGGAGAGGGAAGATCGGGTTTTAGAGGCAAATTTTCCGAATCGGGATTCGATGATGATGATGTCACCTTAAGATCCACAAAGAGAGTAAGTGGAAGGGGAAGCTCCAATGGAATGAACAGTAGCAGAGGAGGACGGTCGGGTTTTAGAAACAAGTTTTCCGAATCGGAATCTGATGGCCAGCCAAGTTATCGTCGTAATAATCAAAGAAATAAAGGAGGCCGTGGAGGAGGCATGGGTTTCAACTAAAAAGAGATTTCGACTCGAACCCGAGAAGAAACAATAGAGGAAGTAGTCGGGAGAATTCGTTTAACGTCAATCAAGGAATTTTAGGGATGGTAACTCGTCAAGAAAGTTTCAAAGCCGTGATGGTAGACAAGGTAATAAGTCATTTAACAAGCATGGAGGAGGAGGAAGGTCGAATTATCCCTCTGACAGTTATTTGGACGACGAACGACACCTAAGGCCTAGAGTTAACGTACGATGAGCTGTGTTTTGGTTTATATATGCTTTCACCTCAAATTTTATGATGTTAGGTAGAAAATAAACTGAGTGCATTTACATTTAATTACCGCTGGTGGAGAGAATGAGATATAATTTGTTATGGTGAGTATAATGTTTCAATTAACATTCTCTGTCAATTGCAAGTGAATGATACTGCCCTGTTAAATTTGTTCTACGATTATATTGCTCGACTGGGAATGTATTTATCTGCAAAATCAAGTGCTTTTCTTGTTCATCACAGTTTCAGTTTCTTGCTAAGAGAATTGATTTGTGGAATTATAGTTATTTAGGTGCAGAACTTGCCGGCTGGAGACTGTTGCTTGAGCGACTTAGGCTGAGGATGTAGCTTGAAATTGAACAAAATATCGTTCAACTTTCGTGATTGAGCGAAATGTTCTCGGTTGACACTTTTGCAATTGCTAAAAAAATTGAAACACCCCAAATTATTAGGTATGATTTGCAATATTGCTTGTAACTAAGGGGGGACTTCAGTTTAATACAACTTTCTCACAAAAATCTCAGTTTAATGCAACTTTGTTACATCTACTTCAGTTTAATACAAGCCCTGAAAGTATAAATCCCTAGTCCCCATAATGTTCATTGGGCATCCACATCATTTGTAATTTGATGTTCAAATCCTGTAATTTGTACATCACTTAACTTCCCAAAACACGAATCTCGGAACTAAAATAAACTTGGAATTATTAATCCTAAAAGAACTTTAATTGCAAGTTCTCCTCAATTTTAAATGCGTCCAAATTCTAATTTTTTTTTCAATTCAACTGTCAAACTTCCATTTTGAAATGGTAAATGTGGTGAAATGCACAATAGGTATTCTGGCAAACAAACAGTTAGTTATCAACAAATAAATTCTGGGCATGGGCATGTATTATAATATATGTTACACGAATACATGCAATAAAATGTACAGCTCAAGCATATATTACCACTCATGTTCACCAATCTCACAAATAAAACTAAACATCAATTACAACATTCAAAATTCTCCAACTTTCCGGCAAATCATCAATCAGTACTTCCTTCCACACAGCTAATTTTTTGTAAGTATACAAAACTTTTGAACAAGAATCCCACTGTCGAGCAAAATAGACTCACCACCTTAACCTACTTAGAAAGTTCTGACCCGTGTGTGTGTGTGTGTGTGTGTATATATATATTATTCGCTGGCTGAGAAACTTGATACGGTTTATATAACCCCAAAACAAAAGATATGGATCGTGACATGAATAATTTTAAGGAAAACTGAGTCGAAGAATCTCAACCTAGGAATCAATATGTATGAGAATCTGTGGTCACGTGTCACCAACTTTTTCGCCAGGTGGTGATCCAGCAAGCCAACCCCATACGCCACCTGAGCTTTGTCGTTGTTTTGCGCTAAGTGCAGCCTGTTCAGAAGCGGCTTTTTGCCGTTGGAGGATTTCGAGCTCCTTCTGTAAAGTATCCATCGTTTGCAGTTTCTGCCTTAGTTCTGCAACATCTACCTGTTAAGATCAAGCAACACTAATTAGCGGCTAAATTGCATTTCTAGTCCTACTAGTTCAACGACATAGCAATTTTAGTCCCAAGATTCTAATGTTTTGTCTTTTGGTCTTGTAGTTTAATATTTTGCTGTAATTTGAGTCCTCAAAGGACTGAAATTGCAACAAATTCCCAATTTATATTTGGGATGGATTTTTTATTAGCAATTTAAGTAATGTAATTTTAATTTTTATTGCAATTTCAATCCTGTAATTTAAAATTTTGTTGCAATTTCAGTCATCGACTGAAATTGCAGAAATTGCAGCAAAATATTAAATCGCAGAGCGAAAAGTTGGAACCTTGAGACTAAAATTGTTGTGGCGTTAAACCAACACGACTGAAAATGCATTTTTTCCTTAATTAGCATACAAGCTTTTGGGGATATTGGAATAAGTGCAGCCAACCATTGAAACAGTAGTAACAATAGCTAATGCATCCACGTATAATTTCTAGTGGCATTCGTACTACATTAAGATTGAAGCTCTTTTAGGAGCTTGTTCGTATTCCAGTAAACAAAGAGACCCAGATTACTCTCGTGGACAATTGTCTATAGAACTGGAGCTGTGGCCTAAGAAAAATAGGCCAGTCAGATTGATTATTTTATCAAGGCTGGGGTGTCTATGAGAAATATAGCACTAATTTTAAAAGTCAATTCGGAAAATATTATGTATATATACAACTATGAGTACATTTATATTATTTATATAGTTTTCAGTGCAGACAATCTTCAAAATATGACTCCTAAAACACCGGAAAAAAAAAACCCTAGGCTTAAGGTGAAGAAGTGAAGATGGAGACAAATGGTGGAAAGTAGGAAAACTGATACATTACATCCAACAAATATGAGAGTTACCGAGTTCAACTTTAGTGACTTAGAAAGGTAACAGAAATTCGTGTGAAAAGTTCGTCAGAAATAGCAAATAAGTGTATATCTGAACAGAAATGACACATACCTCAAGTTTGAAACATCTAGATTGCTCTGCTGCAAGCTGGCCTCTCACAGATTGAAGTTCCTGCCATATCACATGAATCTTATTCAAAGACAAATTTATTCTGATAAAAAATCAGATTGTCATATATGTATGAAACTTGTGCCTAAGGTAACACCATCTATATAGATTAGACAGAAAGAAAGGCAAAACTTGCATGTCTATTACTCAGTCAGAGTGTTCTTCTAGCTCCTTAAGGTTGCACTCAATCCAGTCTATAAGTGCTCAGGTAGATAGGTTAAACAATTTTCTTTGCAAAAATGTAAACAGAAAGGAAAAGTAAAGAATCCTGCTTATGCTATATATTTTCCAGTTCAATACGTCAAATAAATCATTACAAGTTCGTCTTCCTGAAGCATTGAGCTAACAATAGCTTTCAATCCTTTCATATGTTCATTTCTGCATAACGCTGCCCGAACAGATATTGCCTCCCCTCACATGCAACATACATTTTTTTCTAGTGCTTCTTCTATTAGTGAAGTTTCTAGAAAAAAAAATATATCAAACGACGCAATGCACCTTGGGTCGCTACGGAAACAGCCTCCTTGTATAATTACAAGGGTAAGGTCTGCGTACAACTGACCCCCCAGACCCCGACCTGTTGGGAATATACTGGGTATGTTGTTGTTTTGTTGTATACATTCAAATAATGTCCCAAGATGTAACCACTCTCGTCTAGTGCAATTGCATTTATCATTACATATTAACGAGGATCAGTTTCTCTGAGAATGTACCTAGATCCAATACAAATTAAAATATGACATGCTTTTGTCCTTGTTTAAAAACCTCTAATCTAATGAGAATATTTTACATGTGTATAATTAATCGGTACAATGTCATATACCCATAGCCATGTAACGACATATCAACCTCTATCCGAATTTGCACCAGCTCAGACCAATAAATTCTATGCATTAATCCTACTAAAATATTATAATCTAGAGAATTGTATTTGGATTTGAAGTAGGTTTGCTAACTGAGAATCTCACCCCCAACACATTAAAGTAGTTACACCTTTAGATTCATGAGACCAAAACTTAAAGTATTAAAGCTATCATATCAATTACTACTTTGAAATAAATCAAGAATCAACACAAAAATTACCTTGTACAAATCTGTGTTGCGAGTTTCAGCATCCGTCAACGCTTGCTTTAATTGTAGGGTCTGCATTTTCTCCATAGTGAGAGATGACTCTAATTGTTCTTTCTCTGTCTTAAGGGCTTCTAAAAGACGATCACTTGTCTCTTCGCTCTTGCTAATCTGTGCAGAGTACAGAAATATAACTCACAAATTCTTCAGCTATATGTGCAATTTGCTGTAACCCTAGGAATATATATAACTTATTACATGTGGGAGCCCCAAGCATTTGTAACAGTTTTCTGAAATACACAAGACATGTGAATGAGCCCAATTATTGACTGAACAAGATCAGGAATGTAATATGCACTTCGGTATAAGCCTAGGAATGAATACAAATAACTTATTACACGTGGGAGCTCCAAGCATAAGTAACAATTTTCTGAAATACGCAACACATGTGAATGAAGCTACATATTGAATGAACAAGATTGGAAAAGTAATATGCATTCTGACAATTCAAAGTATAACTTTTCTTAAAGTATATGCATTTTCATCTCCATTGTGAAAAATCATATTATAGTCACTTTACTAATATATTAACATTTCTAAGTATATGCATTTTCAAATCTACATTGTGAAAATGCATATTTTGGTTCCATAGCTGGAGCAAAGTGATTACTTTCATGTTTTATACTCGATGGACTTAAAGAAGGAAATTAACTAATTTGATTCCCTGACAGCAAATGTAATACGATATTTGCACTTGTTTCAACTAATTACCATATAACACAAAATTCAGTCATCAATAATGTTTCCTATCGGATAAACTAAAAAGATGTGAAATACGTAATTCTGAAGACTGTCCATGTGAAAATACTATGATAATCACAGCAATAGATGCTGGTAAGGAGTCTTACATAACGCCTACCTTTGGTTCAGCATCAATATTGTCCACACCGATTTCCCTTATTTTTCCTTCTTGACCTGTCTCAAGCTCAGATCCCAAATCTCTGGTAGCATTAGTGATGTTTTGAACAGCTGATACACTATCAGGCACTACTGTCACCATCTTTGATTGCAAAGTTGATTTATGACTTGGTTTAAGTACATTAACCTGATGGCAATAATTAAAGCCTTTTTCAGGGATTGACTGAACTGAAATTATTTCCAAATTAAAGAGGCAAAAGTAACAGGGTTATCCAGACCTCATTGTTGTACCTCCCATTGTATCCGCCAAATGAGACTAGCACATCTTCACCACTGTAAGAGCTAAGGACTAAACTCGAACCCTGAAACCAGAATAAGTAAATTAATTTCACTGGCTATTGTTGACTCACAGTTAAAAATATCTGAGAAGGACCAAATTTGTTGTGTATAACTGATAACTGATAACACAATCTTGATACGGACTCTTAAGTATCATTCTATTCATCAAAAGAACTCACTTTAAAATTATCATAATGTGAAACAAGATTGGAGAGTGGTTTCTACTAATCCATTACAGTTGCAACTTGCAAGTTGTTGGCCTAAATATACCAAGTACCAACTCCACCGAAAATATTCCGGGCGCTGCAAATGTCCAAAATGACCTTTATACAGAAATAAATGCTGCTTTTCGATAGGAGTCAAACTAAATGCATTGGCTAGATTTTCATGTACACTTTATATTCATAATGAATGAAAACTATGGTTCAGGTAGCTATTCGTGCACAAACAATTACGAATCCCTATAAGGCTCATCAAAAGAGAATTTCATAAACATTTTGCAGTATGGTGGGAAATAATCCTACTTTATGGACTCATTAATAAGGTCCAGTACCTTTGTGCCGAAATATTAATTTTCAATAGTGTAAAAGAAGCTAAAAACTCCCTTTTTTATTGCGTCATGTTCCAGAAAATTCGGACGTCGGACTTCAGAAAGTTCATTTCGAATTCAATGCACCAATTAGGTAACATAATAATAATAAAAAAAGAAAAAAAAAAAAAATCATCCTTCATAATAAAATAGATGCACAGGCAAATATAGAACAAACAATAGAAGTCCTTCACTATAATCAACTGATATCTCAACAATAATACCTCGCTAGCAAGAGGAACACGTCCTTGGACAGTAGTTACAATCGACCAGATCAATGTGGACATGTTGAGGACAACAGTCTCTGAGACTCCTGCATGCAGTAGTAAGAACATGCAGAAGTAAGAAAATGTGAGTGTTCTTCTAAAATCGCATGTGTTCCCCTAAATTAGGAATCCGGAGCTGGATCAAAAGCATAAATTAGAGTTGGCCTAAGAGAATACTTTAAATTATCACAGTATGTAATTAGATTCTCAAACTATATGATATCTGAATATCAAATATCAACATTGTAATTCGACCACAATAGCAAACTCTGGTGAAAAGCTAGTGGTATTACAATATTGAAATAGAAATCATCTAATAACATGGAAGCTCATTTTTCACTATAAACTATAAAGAATCCTAGTTTTATTTGGAACAGCTAAGGGACCGAAAATTAAAATATATAGCATGAGAATCCAACAGACATTAAACAAAAATCTCCAGAAATGAGAAAATATGGGCACTCCAGTAGATTGAAATATGTACGATCAAATAATGCAACAAGATGAATCTTTCAGTTGATGCTGTACAATGAACTATAGAAAACAGGAGTGGTCTGATACAGGACCATGCAAGAAAATTATACAAAACTTTCTATATTGCCATCTTCAAATTCTATATTTCTGCAAGAAGAAACCCTAGGTTCTCCAAGGCATTTCACTTCATGATCATACGGAAGTACCCAATGGAACTATATGTCATATCCAATAAACATGAAGTCCCAACATGAACATTGATTGGTCTCCTCCGCCTTTAAACAATGGCAATAACTAAAGAAAAGCATCAAAACCATACTAATATTTCTTTTCTTTCTTTTGTTTGTGCGTGACAAGGTACAAGAAACAAGTGAATTTTATAAATAGAAAACCATACCGCTCTTATTGTTCCCCCCGCCAACAATGAACCAATTCTCTCCAATTGTAACACCAGCATGGCCAGCACGCGGACTAGGTATCTCACCCTGCTGTGTTGGTCTTGACCATTCCATCTACAGCATATAGAGGACATTATAAAACATGACCAAGAAACCATGTATTGGAAAATTACTGAAATGAAACATAGAGTACTTAGCGACAAATAAAAACTAAAATTTTCATTCATCTCACAGTTTTAAGATCAAGAACGTGAAGGTCATTAAAGCAAGTTGCATGTGAGCCGCCACCAAAAATAAGAAGGTAACGATCTGCATGTACTGCTGCAGCGTGATCAGACCTTGGAGAAGGTGGAACCCCCCTACAAAATTAAGGCAATCAGAAATAAGTTAGATGTGCAAGTTTATCAACTAAAACCACACATTTACTCAAAACAAATTAGTCCAGAAAAGGCATCAAAAAAATGATTTGTCATATATTGTTTTTCCATGTGCGTCAAATCTAAAATGAAGGTTACAAATAAAAATACTGAATCACCCAACAGCTGAAAACCCTAGATACTGATGGGACTTAGAAGAGAATGAAAAAAGGAAAAGAAAAATGAGAACCACATATCAAGATGCTATAAGATATCTTTCTCCTATAAGACAGATGCATTTGCATGATAAAGCATGATCTATAAAACAAAATCCTACGTGTTTTTTGTAATGCTTAGTCGAACAAACAGATGTCAAAAATGTGCACTAAATTCTGGAATATCCTTATCCCAAAGGGTTTGTGATTCATTGTAGTTGTACAAACAGACTAGAAATACAGTCTGAAATCAAATAATTTTAATTCCTAAGTTTTTATAAAGAAGAAATCATACGCCATCTCCATTTCATCCCAAGTCATGCTTTCTAAGTCCAGAATGTGCAGGTCATTTAAAAGTGATCTCTTTGCATCCTGTCCGCCAAATATGACGAGAGTCATTCCCACGAGGGTCGCTGACTGTCCTCCACGAGATACCTACAAATCACAGACAAGCATTAGAACTACTCAGAATAAGTATAACGGACTTCATCTCTGTACAAGTACCAAACATAAATTCGTGAAGTTTCCGGACATCATAACTTGGACTATCCATTGTGATAAAGCTACCAAGTTTGAAACCTTGGAAATGCTTTAATCAAGAACGATGTCTTATAATGCAGTAAATGGAACTTGCTACAGTCTGATTTATTACTTAAAGCCAAAAAGATAACCCTTGGATAAATAATGATATACCGGAGGCTTTCCATAAGTCTTCAGCGTAGACCAAGTACAAGTTTGCGGGTCAAACACCTTCACTGGCATCCATAATAAATTAACGTCACATTTCAGAGAAGATACACAAGCACACTGAAATAGGGAAATAACTTTTGCCTTTTAAAACAAATGGATCCAATGCAGTTGCAATATTTCAAAATGAATAATAGTAAAAGAAGAAGAAGAAGAAGAAGAAGAAGAAGAAGAAGAAGAAGAAGAAGAAGAAAAAGATAGCTAGAAACACATTAAAACAAAAAAAACTGAAAACGCAAAAAATAGGTTGAAAAGGCTTCAGATGTTTAAATAGAGTTGAAGTTAAGGAATTCAAAATTTTCAATAGCAAAGCCATTTAAAATGGTAATTCGACTAAATAATAATGGACTTCAAAATCCTTGAGCTTTGATTTTTTAATCTACTTCGTCAAAACCTTTCTTCACACTTCTTTGGCATAATGATTAGTGACCAATGTTTAAGAGATTTTTTATATTCTGTTCACCCTATTATAGCCTAAGATATTAAAATAGAACAATTGGACAAAAACAATAAAATCACTAGAATTTGACATGAAAACCTTGTAATGTTTCAAAAGGATCCTTTGTATGTCCAGCGACTGAAAGAAGCTTCCCATCCCACGGTATCTGCAAAGATAACACATAAGCATAAGCATAACATACAAGGATAAAATAAATATTAAATACTTCCTGTCTACTAATCCCTTTAAATGTCAAGGAGCTTCATCGCATAGGTAAACCATTATTCCAAATACTAACCAACGAATGGCCGGCACAAGGAGTTGTCCCTTCCTGAACTTCAACTTTGGACCAAGTCCAACTTCTCATATTCAGAACCTAATGCAAGAAAAGAGGATTTAAGATTGCCGAACCTTCATCATCCTCTACGAGAAGAAAGCTGAAACTATATAATGCGATTACGATCAGTAATGACATAAATCCAACGTGATTCGAATCAGAAGGCTGTTACAAATCCCGGGTACAACCTCTACATATTTCTAAAGTAACTCTCCGATTTGATTTGCATGCTCAAAACTTTACTAATGTTGCATGTACTGTATTCAAGGCCCAAAATATAGATACAGAACTGTTTCCAATTGCAAGACATGATACTAATGACATATGTAACACATATATGCAAAAAACTTTAATATAGTACCTGGAGATCACTTAGGTAACGACCATTGTGGTTTCCACCAAATACGTACATCTTATCCTCAATAATAGCTGCTCCATGCTGTTGTGCATTTATTTATTTTTATAAAAGATATCATGTTTTAAAGTTGAAAAAGGAGAAGTATACATGTAAAAGAAGTACAATAATGAGAGTACCTCGTATCTGGCTTTTGGACGCGGGCCAGATATTGGAGGTCCAATCCACTGGTCATATACACTAACTACCCCAAGACCCTCCGATACAACATCTTTATCCTGTGTTTCAGACAGGTTGCCATTTTCAATCGGAACAGTCTTCACCTCTAGGATATTGTTTCCATTTTCGGAGACTGCCACTACTTCTGGGCTATGCTGAGCCAGCAGGAATAAAAAAAATCTAGGTCAGAAATTATATATCAAAACCTAAGGAAGGAATCCAAGATATAAAATCTGCATTTTTATACTAAGCATTGGTTTGTGTCTATTTTTATTTTACAAGGCATTTTGTATTGGTGAAGGGTGGTGGTTTGAGACTTTGAGGGGAGAGATTTGGTACAGACTTGTTGCTAGATCATTTATGGTGATAATTCTGGTGGTAGATCTATGTATAGGGAAAGGAATAGAGAACGCAAGAGGGCTCTAGCAGCGTTAAATGGAAGGGTGGCTGAGTTGGAATGGAGCTGCGAGTGAGTAGTGACTAAGGTTGATGATTGAAGGAGAGGGGATGGAGAAGAAGGGTCACTTCGATGTTTAGTTTAGGTGTATTGTCTTATCATATAGTTCATTTACAGTATAAATAATGTTCAACATGCAGAAAAGTAGAGATACTCTCGAAACTAACAAGCGCGAAATTCAGAACAGATTTCCAAGTGAAAAAGTAAACCAAGCTGAGCATTTTGTAGATATGCCCTCATTTTACATTCCTCCCAGAGACCAATTCACTTATAACATCTATCGAATCCCTCCACCACCACCCCACCCCCCCAGCTTTCACCAGACAAGGAGTGTAACGGAACAACTCGACAAAAGTATCAAACTCTGAAACCCCCACCTTTCACCAGACAAGGACTGTAACTGAACACCTTAGTGAAAGTAACAAACTCTTAAGCACCTACTTCATGCTGTCATTACTTTTAGAATCTGCATATACATTGAATTTCAAGATACAGTAAAAACCTGATTTTCTATTCAATTGCGGGTTTCGACCTTTAAGTTCAAGTCTTCATAGACAGTTTCATTTCTATGGATAACTAACTATACAAGGATATCTATAACGACGGCCTAAATGTAAACGCTATTATGTCTCCTCCATATTGAACATATGGATTTTTTTTTTGTTTGACTACAGATTTTTCATTCATCTTCTACGAGAATTAATGAACACAGGCCAATTACAAATATCAGTTCCTAAATGCAGTGAATCCTCACAGTAATGAAATAGGACCAAATATATGTCTCTCATACTGCATTCTAAGAACTTAAATCATTGTTTCCAGTAATTCATTTTTGTGTCTAGCAACACTTAATACATCAACAGCCTCTCTACTAGTCAAATTCTCAGATTCTTAGACAGCCTGGGCATCTTTCATGATTCTTAAAATATGCACACAAGCAATTTAACTAACGAAAGTACTTATAGAGCATCATTACCAAATAAACCTAACACTCCGACCGACTGTTTGAGATGTAAAGAATAAAGGCTAGTTTTGTGCTGTGCTAGAGACATAGTCCAGGACGGAAGTTTTGCACCACCATCCAGGATTGTTGCTATCTAACTAGTCCATGAATTTAATAAATCGCTATAGTAGACATCAACAAATTCGCCGGTTGGAAAGAGAAGAGCTCCACTCGTACCTCCTGATCTACGACCACCCTAGTCTTTGCCCATGAATTTAATAAATCTTTACAATCAGCAATGAGTGGTCTCAATTTAAACAAAATTAGCTCAACTCAATGTGCTTCCATGAGAGTGAAAACAGTTCAAACGGCTAAAAACTTCCTCGAATGACACTGTAATATTATTTGATACAACCTGAATTTGATGTGTAATCTCCTTAATGATGGACTTTTGTTAATTAAACTGACCAATGAAGGCAGTGACATTTGAAGGCATCTAACATTCCACTTTCCTTGGAGGTAAAAAGTTCAAAAACAAACTTTTACAATTTATAAATAAGCAAATACAATAAATAAATAAATAATGAAAAAATTAATACAGGCTCTGGTACAATTGAGGAACCAGCACAAAAACATGCTTATGAAACGCTGATCGAGTTTCAATTGATGCTGAAAGTGCCTAGCATACTGTAATGAGGATGCTGGGTAGATGTGTCAAATTCATATTATCTGAATCCAACTAGTTCTTCTAGCTATCAATTAAGCAACTAATGCATATTAAATGTCAATGTGCTTCCTCTCAATGCATAGCTCCAAAACTCTTCCCTACAGCTCCAATGATTATTTAGATGATGAACAATCTTGACTTCCTATGAGTGCATCAGATCACATGAACTAAAAGAATCCACCAATGCAAAAGCAAGAAATCCAATCAAAGTTGCTAAAGCAGAAATATGCATAGCCAGACACTGAAGTGCAGTATGTAAATACTATATCTTGTAGTTGGATAAAAAGAAACATGCAAGATTTACATGCCTCAAATATTTCTTAAAATTCAAATCGACCAAGTAAAATTGAGTTTTCATAAGAAAAAAGGGGGTGAAGGGACCAAAATTATACAACGTAGCAAAAGATTCATAATATTATAAACTCACTTTTATTTCAACATCTTGATTGGGCTCTGCAACAAAGTTTGATACTCTTGAATACCATCCTGGATCTTCCTCCTGTTCGGTATATTATAAATTGTAATACAAGAAATTGCATTATGAGATTTACCATAAACAAGTTTCACTGACCTCTAATATTTTGACAAAGAGGCGCATTGCCTCAGCGGAAGCCATGTTTCCAAGTTCACTCCAGCTTCAGTTCAAACAAAAGGAAATCAATGTAAATACATAAGAAAACAGAACTAGCAAATCATTTCCATGTAAATCTACATTACACATCGAAGATCCCATTATAACTGATCTGACATGATAATCATGCAATCTTATTCCATTCAAAACTTAGCAAAATTTCAACTATATACAGGAAAAGGCTAGATTAATATATCAGTGTCAGACCTAATAGATTAATGAAAAACCGAAATGCCATTCAACGCAAGCAGAAACAGCTTTTCATGAAACACGCTCATCGGTAGCAAAAAATATATTAGTATTGTCTCAAATATTTGAAGTGCACATGTCCAACCAACCGGAATTCTCCAACTTAGCAGGAGACATACCAGCTCTTGTTCAAATACTAAAATGTTATTTGACAATATAAATTCCTTAAAAAAACATTATGATCAAATCGATGAATAAATGCCACGGAGTTCGTTCACTGCAAACCTTGTCCATTTGCTTTGCTCAACAGGATTCCAACCCCTAGGCTTAGGAACGTTACAAGGCCCTATAGCTGCCTGCAACCACCAAAAATACAGCATTATTCGCAAATAATACCTAGATCATCTCAAGTTATATGATATATGAACTCATAAATTGGCTTGGAATCCATCATTAGATGCTGACTTGCCAAGAAAGCAGTAAGAAGAGTGTTTTCAAGACTCAACATGGATACAAGCATGACTGAATGTGATATTGTGATCAAGCCAATGTTATGAAGCTACTAAATATTGAATAGTACACTGGAAATGCAGAAACCCAGACAGAAAATGAAGATGTTTCTCCATTTTTAAAAACCAGTTTAACACTGTGAATGGAAAATAAATCTAGATCTCATTGGAACTACACATCCCCAATACGGGCTTCGTATGTCGAATATTAATATTAGCTTGTGATTTCTAATAAAATATAGACAGAGCTTTAAAAAGAGGCTCAACAATGGAAACAGCATGACCATGGCAGCAGATCAGGCCATTTTAATTAGCTAACTGCGTATTGATATGACTGCTGAATCTCATTCAATCATCCATATTTCCTTAGAAAAATCTGAAGAGTAATACACAACACCAGTAGATCAAAAGAAATTCAACCGAATAAGTTGACACCATTTCTCGAGCTGCACAAGCACTGGCGAAGAACATGACAGATCAGTAGATTAAACATGAAACAGCTAAAAACCTGATGATAAAGGGCGTAGAGGAGCAGTGCAGTGTCATTTGAGAACTTGGAGGTGACGCCTTTGGCCACGGTGTCTGGGGATCCGCCAAAGCCGCAGTAAGTCGCCGCCGCATAGAATCGCTCCGGGTAAGCTAAGCCGGAACCTGCCCTGGCCATCGCTGCCATTGCCGAGTTCACCGACGGAGTCGAAATCTCAGATCGACGAAGATGTGACAATTTCTCTTAAGGATATGCAGAAATTAAGTACAACTATAAATTAGAAAAGCTGGTACGATTTCGTTTTTGAGTATATTGTTAGGTGTGTATTAAATTATTAATTCATGTATATAATTTTCGAACATGTTTGAGTATCTATAACTAGTAATCAACCTGTGCATTTGCACACACGAATACTTTAAAAACATAAAAATATTAAAAAAAAAAAATCATAATTTAATTCATGAAAAAAACTATGAATTAAGAAAATAATTCTCAAAATTAATTTTGATCAAGTAATAGATATGCAAGGGCCGTTATAACCATTTCCTTTATGCTAATACACTCGGCCATTTTTAGAGTTGGTGTGACTTAAAATTTGAGTACAATTTTGTAACTCCCTTTATTGGTTTATGCTCATAATTTATTGCATTTTTGTAACTTAAAAATGAAATTGAATGCTGAAAATTTTGGAGGGAGAATAAAATTTAATGCATGAGAATAAAATTTAATGCATGGTAATAAAATTAAATGCTTTGTTGTTCCTCTTTATATATATATAGATATACACGACACATAGATATATTGGCATTGTTTGGCGATCAGCGGATAGCGGATTATATTCGCAGATAGCGGGTTTATATTAGCTGATTTGACTAGCGGATTGCATTAACGGTTTTTAAATAAGTGTTTGGTAAATAGCTGAAAGCTTATAACTGTTTGATATTGCAAAATGACCAATAAGGACATTTTATTATTTAAGGTGTATTCGTTTAATAATAATATATTAAAACATTTAATATTCTTTAGTTTGTAATTTATAAATATATTATTATTTTTTTAAATTTACTAACACTTGATGAATAAGTTATGAATTTTACATTTTTCTAGATAAATTAATCATATGGATGACATATTATTATTTATTAGCACCATAAACCAATGTAGATTGTAAATTAAATAATACAAATTAAAAAATTCCAAGTAAATGATTTTGTGAATCCTCTATCCCAAAACGATGTTCTAATGAGTTTTTTCTAAATTAGAGTTTTGGGTCCAAAAAGCTTATCAAATAAGTTATTTACCAAACAGGCTCAATTAAGTCCAATCGCCTAATTTATTTTCAATCCGCTATCTACCAAATGGGGCCATTAAATGAGTTATTTTCACAAGTTATATACGTTTAAGCCTAAAAAATAATAGGGTTATCATCTCTTTTAAGTCTAAAAAAAAACAAGGGTTATAATCTATTTTTCACTTCTTTTAATCAACGTAAAAAATAAAAAACAAGGTTATAATCTATTTTTCACTCCTTTTAATCAACGTTGTTTTTTGCAGAACATTAAATATGAGCATGTTAGAGATAGCTTGTAAAATAATTAATATATTATCTTACCAACACATTTATATTAATATAAATTTGATTTTAGTATACATATTTATTCCTTAATATAAGAGAAAATAACAATTTTACATATTCTTATTCACTATATAATATTTAATTATTATTTTAATTATAAACATTGTTGTCATATAATATCATTATTATTTATAAAAGTTATAGAAGTTGTACGTCTTCTTTTTCTTCTTATTTTATGTAATAAAAAATATTTAATGCTCGTTAGTATTATTTATTTATCTAATCAATTTAAAATATGTAAATGAATAGAATTAAATAGTATATACATATTTTACAAAAAATACACATCTTTTTTAGAATTTAATTTTGTATAATAATTAAACAACTTTGATTTAGCAAATGACAAAAACTCATTCCTTTATATAATCAAGATTTTTTTCTAATTTGCATTAGAAGGATTTATAGTTTATTTAGCATATTCTACAATGAAAATATATTTTACAATAATTTCATTACAGAAAGAAAACAAAATTTAAAAAATGATAAAAAAAATAATCATGATTGCCAATAATATATAAATAAATTCTAAAGAACGGTTGATATATTTTGATTTTAATTTTTAGTCATTAGTAAAACTATTTAATGTATCTGGTCATTATCACTTAAATTGTAAATTATATTAATTTCAAGAATAATTTATTTTTTATATATAACAAAATAAAGCTTAAGAAATAAATTATATTGGCAAAGATTAATTCATCAACTTGATTTCGCCTGATTAATTAGAAGAAAAAATTATATCTAACATGTTACGCTTTTCTATAAATATTTTTGGATAAAATAGTGAATATTTGTGAAAAAAATAATATTAGGGTTAAAACTTAAAATATATTGTATTATTTATCTTGACCAAAATATTATCAACATGTAAATATGAGCATGTTAGGGCTAGCTTGTAAAATAATTAATATATTATCTTACCAACAAATTTATACTAATATAAATTTGATTTTAATATACATATTTATTCCTTAATATAAGAGAAAATAACAGTTTTACTTATTCTTATTTACCATATAATACTTAATTATTATTTTAATTACAAATTTTATTGTCATATAATGTCATTATTATTTATAAAAATTATAGAATTTATATATCTTCTTTTTCTTTTTATTTTATGTAATAAAAAAATATTTAATGCTCATTAGTATTATTTATTTATGTAAACAATTTAAAATATGTAAATGAATTTAAAATTAAATAGTATATACATATTTTACAAAATATACACATGTTTTTTTAAAATTTAATTTTGTATACTAATTAAACAACTTTGATTTAGGAAATGCCAAAAACTCAATCTCTTCTATAATCAAGATTTTTTTTTTTAATCTGCATTAGAAGGATTTATAGTTTATTTAGCAATGAAAATATATTTTACAATAATTTCATTACAGAAAGAAATCAAAATTTAAAAAATGATAAAAAAACATTAAGCAAGATTTCCAATAATATATAAATAAATTCTAAAGAACGGTTTTCTGGCCATTAGTGAAAACCATTTAATGTATCTGGTCATTATCTCTTAAATTGTAAATTACATTAATTTGAAAAATAATTTTTATATATATAACAAAATAAAGTTTAAGAAATAAATTATATTGGCAAAGATTAATTCATCAACTTGATTTCAGATGATTAATTGGAAAAAAAAATTACCTAACATGTTACAATTTTCTATAATGTTTTTATGATAAAAAAGTGAATATTTGTGAAAAAAAAAAATATTAGGGTTAAAAATTAAAATGTATTGTATTATTTATGTTGACCAAAATATTATCAACATAAATCACGAAAAATCAGTTTTGTAATTTATTATAATGGATATTAATGAAATTATGATATTAATAAAATTATTGAAGGAAACAATATTTTTTATCATATTTTGAACGTATTTGACAACGTGTATATGGAAGCTATTAATGTATATATTTAAAAAGTTTCCAAAAAAGGTATGCATTAAATTCTCTCCAAATTTTTTACTACTATTTTTGGTAAATGATTATTCTTATTATATATATTATATTATATAGATAGATATAGATAGCAGACTTGATTGTTGATGTGCCAAATAATAATGGTTTTATTGTGATTTGAACACTCGATTGTGGATGCGCCAAAAAATAATGTTTGTATTGCAATTTGAACAAATTAAATTAAATTAAATATATGATTCGGTTCGGTTCTGTTTTCGAGACTATCGGAACAGTTCAGTTCGGTTTGGTTCGGGTCGGATATTTGGAGATTTCTTATCATTTTTAAATTTTTTTTGAATGACCACCTAGTTATATTTTATTTTTTATATGTTTTTTTTAATCCAACATTAATGAATACTTCATCATACTAAAGATTTTATTTTTAAATCAACTTTAGAAGTAACCCTAAATTTTAGTTAAGACTAAATTCAACTAACATTGAAAATTTAAAATTCAAACAAAATATAATACAATCTATACTTATATAATAAGAATTAACATTTATCCAAAATAGTAGGTCAAATTATAGTTAATGTCGGATTTGCATTAAATATTTTCCAAAACTGGTAAGTTTTTGTCCTTTTCACACTTCTCATTAATTATGTCATTTTCACACTTCTCATTAATTATGTCCTTTTCACACATCTAATTAATTCATTAATTACGACATAATTATCATAAATCATTCCATCTGAGCTTTATCGTTAAAATGTATAGCGATCTGTTATGACCTTATCCCATTGATATTTTCATGAAGCGTCCTTATCGCGTTCTATTTTTTGGTAACCACTCTATATCAATAACCGGATATTTGGTCAATGATAGCACACGTCTTTATTTCAAGGAGCGGATATTCTTTGACCTTTAATTAATCTGAACTGATTGCCTTGACTTTTCAATTTTTAAAAACTCTTTTTTTAAATATTTCAGCTTAAGATTCGGATTTCATTATACAAGTCATCGGATTGTTTGAATGAAAATGAATGAAAAGAACACCAAAAACAGGTAGCCTTATTCATATAACCAATCCTAAAATATTAGTTTGTTCACCAAAAAGAGACAAATCTTAGAAATCCTAAAATATTAGTTTGTTCACCAAAAATATTAGTTTGATTTTTAGGATTTGTCTCTTTTGAAAATATTAGTTTGTGATAATGAGGAGTTACCAAATAATCAAACTTATAATGTTGTGTACAAGAAGGTTTTTAATAATATATGATTGTTACCGAACTTTTTATGATTCAACAATGTTCCCATGTATTTTAATGATTTCAATTTCGATCCTAATGCACGTGAAGTAATATTATTCTTCCAAATTTTACATCCCGTGCATCGCACGGGTTACGTACTAGTTTTATATTAAAGTAATATTTATTAACCTTCCATACCACGTTAGTTATAAGATAAACGAATGCTAAGTATCGACAACTTTAAGTAAAGCTTAAATATTTCTTTTTTTAAATATTTAACCTTTCATTCCATTTTAATTTTCTTTTAAATAGGAGAAATTCAATTGTAGATCAAGTATTACTAAACATGAAATTTAAGTGAATTTCAAGTGTTATTACCATATTTTATTTGCATTTTAAAAATTCTCAAATTATATAGGATCAAAGTTGACATAAATTATATTAATAATACGCATCTATTTTTATAATTTGGTTCTTCGGTTTGGAGTAATTTAGGTTCGGTTTTTGGAACGGTTTGAAATTTTCGAAGTCCCATGCTCAGCCTAATAGTAATACACTCCCAGCTTGTCTGAATTTGAAGAAAAGAGGACTTGAAGTGGATCCCACATGCTGTAGTTGTGGTGAGGAATGGGAATCAGTAGAACATGTCCTGCTTCATTGTGTTAGCCAAGAGCATCTGGAAGTTAGCTCCAATTCAATGGACTGAGAATAACCAAACAGACACTTCCAAGCAATGGTGGTGGAATGTATGTTCAGTTGGCAAAAGATATATTTCAGAATCCAAGATTGAGCTTACTACTTACATACATATTTTGGTGGTTTTGGAAAGCCCGGAATCTCTGGAAATTTGAAGCTATTTGGATGCTTGATGATGCACTTCTTACTTCTTAGGGCTGCTCAGTGTCATTGGATGGAGTTCAAAGAATGCAGGCTTGTGACTGAGTAGCAGTGAAGGAGAGGAAGAATACAGTTCAAAGAATGCACTTCTCCTGGCCCGTGGCCCGTGGCGGGGTTGGGCCGGTCTGCCCTTTTACAGGACCGCGAAGATGGTGGGCCGGGCCGGCCTGCCCTGCCAGCCCGTTTTGATATATATGTTTAAGTGATTTCACAGCCCATATTCGAGCTGTGATTCGTGAACCACCTTATTATCAACCCAGGTGTGATATATATGTTTAAGTGATTTCTTAGTTGTTTTGGATCGTCTTTATTGGTAACTGCTCTTGTTAATTGCCACATAGGCATAAAGTTATGAATTTGCCGTGATACATAAATTGTTTAATCCATTTTTTTTTTCTTGTGACTCATGTTTTTTATTTGATTTGATTTAACTCATGTATTTGATTTGATTTCATGTTTTTCCTTGCTTTGCCTCTGATGGCTTGCTGCCCTACTCGCGTTAGTGAAATATGTGCCCTTCTTTCTCTATGGGAAATTCATAATAATATGAAATTTAGTAGCTTGGAAATGAAGGAAATACAATTTATTGATTCAGATGGGAAAAACTATGAAAGGTAAGAAAAACAAAAGGGCTACTTAAAGTTGCTGAGTTGTCCCTGTTCATCCATGTGGACTTTCTGTGGTGGTTTTACCCTCTCTATTGTTTTTGTGCCACCAGTAATCTTTTGTTGTGGTTTTAATTTTAAGTGTTCACATTTGCATCTTTTTCTTAAATCAAGAAATGGGTTCTCCTGCTTTTGTATTCTTGAGTTATTAATCGGATTTTAATTTGAAGTGCTTCTTTTTCTTAAATCAAGAATCTGGTTCTCCTACCTTTGTTTTCCGAGGAATCTTTTCGTGAGCAGCGTTGTTGTACCTTAAATATATTTCCTTTTGGCTTGTGGTAGGATGAAGGTCCGTTCGTCTGTGAAAAAGATGTGTGAGTTTTGCCCAACGGTGAAGAGACTTATGTTCTGTGTTCTGCTAATCCCAAGCACAAGCAGCGGCAGAGCATCTCCACATTTGCGTACCAAACCACCAGTAACGGCAAATTCAAAGGAGATGACATCATTTGCTGCTGATGGTGCCAAAAATGAATGACGTATTTACTGTGACATACCAAAATCCGAAAGGGTTAGATATGCCGTGTATTACCTCGACTTTGCAATTAGTATTTTTTACAATTATTTTGCAAATATTAAGGTAACTATGTAAATTGGCCATTAACTTTTATGGACTTTCACATTTCTTCTCCTTTTCTTTTTGTTTATTTTATTCGACTTTTGTGTAATTGTAAATAATACCATACGGTATGACACTAAATAAGAACAATTAAAAAGAAATAGTCAGTGGAATTTCATGCGTCGAAAATGATTTCTTTGGGAAGTACTAGCTTTCCTCAAGTGGGGGTGGATATTTCATGTTATTTATCTTATTTGATTATAATATGATGGTAAATTTAAATTTAATATATTTTTTCATTTCATGTTTCTATATCTATAATTTATTTATTTTTTTAACTGTGTCCTCAGATTGGTATTTTATGTCGTGCTAGCCGTTGCCAATCCCTAAACAGCAAGAGTGCCTATTTTTCCTGCAAATCTTTTACTCCCTCATCCTCAAATGAATATATTTCTTTAGTAAATACTAAATACAACTCGAAACTACAAGTATTAAGTAAACAAAGGCAGAACTTGTGAAACAGTAGCAGATGAAGAGGATTTGTACAAACAACTTTAGCTTCCATTTCTATTGGGTTTGAGGTAGAATAACAAATTTGAGTAGCAGATTTCCGAAGCGCTACATATTATATGCCTATTGATTCATTTCTTCAAGCTACAAAGACAGGACCAACAACTACCTATGTCAGAGATGTGAGGTGCATCAGCCTCATTGGTTTGCCCGTAGAGAAACCGCAAGGTTGGGTCTGCAGCTAATTTGCAAGCATTCTATGGAGTTTTTTTCCAACTAGCTATGATCTCATCGAAACGTTTATTATTACGGGGTTTTTTTTCTTATGGGATACGAGTGAAGTCAACCAGGTCCGTAAAACTATAAACGTCGGTGGCAAGTCAACGAAAAATACTTTGTTTTCCACGAAGAAACATTCGAAGACATGTCGTGTAAGAATTTAGCCTTATTGTGAGCTCCTAGGTAATGGGTTCCCTTTTTTAATTTCATGCTATAGCAGTAAAAAAATAGTTCAGGTAAGAACTCCCCTAACATACACTTCGAGTTTATAATGACGGAGGTTATGAGGCGGATAGCAGTTTGTACAAATTGCTAAGGGGGTGATTGAATATGAATTCAACTAGTAAAAAACTAGTTTTTTTTAACTATAGTTAAGTTTGAAAAAAAGTAGTATGGTTAGTTGTTAGTGGATATATTAAAATAATATTTAAATTAAATTAATTAAAGTTGATTTGATGTAAAAGTATGAGAAAATGATTGGAAGTGATGGTTAGTTAAAATTATTTGAGTGGGTGAAGTGAAATAAAGTTGATGTGATGTGTAATAATGATTGGTTGAAATTGTTTAATTATATTAATAATATTGGAGATAATGAAGTTGAGTTAAATTTAAATTTTGAGTGCGATATTTACTGTACAAACTAGTATAAGTCCCGTGCAATGCACTGGTAAAAGATATTTATTAATATTTATAGTTAAAAATTCTTATTAAATTTTACCAAAAAAAAATCTTATTAAATAATATTTATAAATTTAAAATATGGAATAAATATGTAATACAATTTACTTATATTAATTTATTGAAAGTGTTATATAAAGTCTAAATTGTGCAAAATTACATAAAAATGTCTATTTAAAATTAGTATACAACCCGTGTGGTGCACATAACTGATAATAAATTACATTATATTCGTTTCAAAATAAGTACCATTCCAAAATTTTGATTCAGAAAATCGATTTGACTATATGTGATTCCATAAAATAGTTATTTTGGTAAAATGTTATCATATATTTAACAGTCTATGTGAATGATAAGTATAAATATAAAATTTATATTGTTTCATTACTTCAAATAATTTATTATTGTATAAACTATTAAAATAAAAAAAAAATAAGTAGCTGAGTAATTTATTAAATTATAAATAATTGACTATTTCGTTTACGTCCAAGTTAATATTGACCCATAAGTTATATAATTGATTATTTCGTTTACGTCCAAGTAAATATTGACCCGCAAGTTATGAATAATTATTTTTTATTTTTAAATTTAAATATAAATCTTTTTATTTTTTTGTAATATATTATATACTAAATTTAAACCATGTAACTAATAAAGGTAGTAGCTGCAAGTTTTGTCAATATATTATATTTCAAATTAAATCATGCAACTAATAAAGGCAATAGCCGCAATATCTGACCAAAATGATTCTGTACATTAATTTAGGCGGGATTTTTTCAAATTTTGACAAAAAATATTAATCAAATAGTTTAGGCGGGAAACCAAATGTTATTTTACCTCTTTTTAATAAAAAGAAATTTAGATTAAATTAAGTTTATACGTGTGGAGTGAAAAACAATAAACATAAGTAAAAAGATCTCTATATGATTTGTATAATGGTGAACCGTTGGCTTTTTATTTATATGTATATAAAAAGATGTACATTCCAAATAATTAAGTTTAGTTATCGCGAAGTCCTCTTCATCGTTTTTAGGGTAGATTTATTATATTTATATGGATTATATATCCAGCATAATTGTATTTTTAAATATAATAAATCGATGAAAACATAATATGGAATATATACCTTTATCATTAGTCTCGACCAATTTGATTACTTTATCTGTATAACTTTTAAATGAACTCTTTACAATGTATTTGTTTTTTTTAATTATTATTTAAGTTGTATATATTGCATAACTATATGTTAAAAATATAATATTTTTCTATTGAAATATGCGATTTATATATATGTATATAAAAACTTATATTAATTTTTCAATAAAGATTAAATTTTGTATTTTTATTTTTTATTATAGCATTCCCATTTAAAAAATTGTTACCATGATTAGTGTAAAAAGTTTAACAAAATAATTGTCACGTGTAAAAAGATTAATAAAAAAATAAGGTTTTCATGCTAATGTATTTGTATATATCTAAATCATCTTTTCCTGCAATACCACAACATCCGTCCGCAGAAACGTGTTCATAAGAGAAGAATTAACTCAAAAACTGAATTTAACCAAATAAATTACAAACTCATTTCTTTTTTTCACGCCTAATTATCTTAAACAATTACTCATTTGATGGATGATACCATAATTTAAACTCGGCTTGATTACCTAAAAAACAGGAAATAAAAAACAGATCGGTAGACATATGAAAATGTGATTTGTAGATAGGTGAGTTTAGTCAAACAAAATCTTTTATATATATATATATATATATCTATACAAATGAAATCCAAATCCCAAAAAATCTGAAAACGTGCATGCATGGAATAAAAACAATTCAAATACCTGCATGAAAAATTTCAAATTAAATTGTAAGGGGGAAAACAGCTTTTAAGCGGGGAATTAAAATATTTTTTCAAATATTTTTTCTTCTCTATATCTATTAATATATAAAGAGGGAATGATAGTTGTTTGAAAAAATCAAGTAGAAAATCAACAAAAAAAAAAAAGATTTCAATTCCCGCCCAAACAATAATATTTACTAGATAAGGTAATATTTTTTGGCGAAATTTAAAAAATCCCGCCTTCTTTAAATTAACTTCTAATTCTTTTAGAAATTTGAACTGTTTGGTTTCGGCCACTTTGGAAAGAAAATCGGATGCAGTTTGGCCAATTTGGAAAAAATATCGGCACTAAGTTTGTGTTGTGTCTATCTATATGCTCTTTACTTTTTTAACTACACCTAAAATCCCACTACGCCTATGTTAAATTCCACCTAAAAAAATTCCACCTAAAATGTGATTGTCTTGGTAATAAAACAATAATTATGTTGGTAATAACAAAAATAAAATTTTAGCTCATTTAAACAGTTAGATTAATTCTTTCCAATTTATTTTATGCCAATAAAAAATTATGAAAATATTTAATTTAAACAATATTTCACCAATCTATCTATTAATATATAGAGAGACAAAGATATTTACTTGAAATAATAATTAAAAATCAGTAAAAAAATATTTAATTTCTTGCCTAAAAATTCAGATTTACTAAATTGGATAATTTTTTTGGCTAAAATTTGAAAAATCCCGACTAAATTAAATGTAATTAATGTACAAAATCATTTTGGTCAAATATTACGGCTATTACCTTTATTTGTTGCATGATTTACATTTAGTATATAATATATTGACAAAACTTGCTGCTATTATCTTTATTAGTTGCATGATTTAAATTTGATATATAATATATTGAAAAAAATAAAAAAAAATTATTTAAAATTAAAAATAAAAAATAATTATACAGAACTTACGAGCATTGTTTTTTCACCCGGACCGGCCCGGCGGGTCAACCCGGGACCTGGTCGACCCGAAGCCAGAACCGGTTCGGGTGGGCTATTTGGACCGGACAACAAAGGACCCGGTCAAACCCCGCCGACCCGGGGCATTGACCCAGCCAGGTCAACTCGGTTGACCCGGTCCATATATATATATATATATAGATATTTTTTTTTTTTTTAAAAATAAAACTATGTATATATATTTATATGATAAATATTTATCATGAGTTACATATTATTAACACTTTAATGTACAAATTTCATACACAAAATATTTAATTTTGTTATTTTTATGTATATTTATATGACAAAAATACTCTATATATAATTTAAAAATTAATTATCCGATTTAATAATTGACCCGGTGACCCGACGGTTGAACCGGTGACCCGAGGAACTGCCCGAGTCCATTACCGGGCCTGGTTTAAAAACTATGCTTACGAGTCAATAGTAATTAGGACGTAAACGAAATAGTCAATTATTTATAGTTTAGTAAATTACTCAACTACTTAATTTATAGTCAATTTAAACTATATATCATTTTCAATAAATTAATATAGGTAAATTGTATTATATATCGATTCCATATTTTTAATTTATAAATATTATCTAATAAAAATTTTTAATTTATAAATATTAATGAATATTTTTTACACGTGCACTGCACGGGACTCATACTAGTTTTATAGTAATAGAATAGATTATATACAATCACACCTTATGGTATAACTCATTCGAATTTTGCTTTACCTGGTATTGTTTATCGCAATTGGATTCATTTTCCACCACATATGGATTTATCTCGCGGGGCCGGCCAAAATAAACGAGCTTTCCGAACTCTGCAAACCTATCCAAACGCGTCCTATTCGGCTATTCCTATTCGGCCCACATATCGGATTCTATTCCTATTCGGCTATTCCTATTCTTAACTAAAGGTGAGTTATTTTCATTCTTCCCTTCTCCTATTTATTTATGCAGCGTGTTCGTTAGCCCTAATTTCATTCTTCCCTTCTGCTATTTAAACTTGCATAATAGAGTTATTTTTTTTTTTCTTCTAAAATCAACACTGAGGAAAAAGAAGAGGATTCAAGCATTATGTGGATCCGAGGTACTCAAACTTTCTCTTGTCCTTTTCTCCTTTTCCTTGTATTTATAATTTCGATTTTTTTTTTTAATTGATAATTTCATAACAGACCCAAGAGTTGTATTCGGATTATCTGGAAGGAAATCACACATGAAAATATCACCCATACATGTTACTCTTCTGGTGGCCGCCCCTCAATTGGATAATAATCCCAATCTTCTGATTGTTCAGGTCCCATTCTCCAACTAACTTTAATCCTCTAATTAATTTGAATTAATTTCAGGTTTTAATTTTCTGTAATATCAGCTATTTGAATACAGTAACTCAACATAATAAACATCAACCATTCGAATATTTGAATAGATGTATCAACCATTTGAATATGTGAATAGATTGGCACGCTCTCGTTTTGTATATTAGTGAAGTGTTTTGTTGTATCTTGGTCATATTGTGTTTGTATAATTACGTTGATGTGTTTGTATATGTATACTTACTTTGTTAATCTAATAAAGTAATTACGTTGTTGTGTTAATGTGTTTGTATATGTATACTTACTTTGTTAATCTAATAAAGTAATTACGTTGTTGTTATTGGTCGCGTGTTGTGAGTGTATCCAACCCAACACCATGAACTTGCTTTTGATATTACAAAGGGGTTGTGTGTAACTTATACAAATTAATGTACATTTTATATATATATATATATATATATATATACATATACATACCTATATATTTGTGATTAGGAAAGCGGTAGTAGTAAAAGAGTGAGGACAAGCATTGAGGTCTTTGCTGCTGACAGCAATTTTGACAATGGACTCGGTAATTGAGAATTTGAGGTTTGTTGTAATATTATCAATTACATAATTAGATACTCTTAAACAGTTGCTAATACTCATTTATCCACTTTCGAGCATCAGAAGTTTTGTTGTCCAATATCAGCGAAGACCTATTGTCGGAGATCCTTGTTAGACTCCCAAATTGTCGATTTGCTATTCAGTTGAGCTCTGTCTGTCGGCGTTGGCATTCATTGATCTCTCAACCCCGATTCATCCCTAGCTTCATCCGCCTCCACCAAGATCGAGATCAATCCTACACCATTCTTTTCCGCATGAATTATCGTTGTATTCGTGACACCCCAGAGTATTATCAATTGGTTTGCACTCTTTTCTCGGAGGAATCTTTGCTTATCCACGGAAAGCGTGCATTATTATCACCGTCTAACTATCTCGACTTCATGCCTTCACTCATGGTCGTAAGAGCATCGTGCAATGACTTGTTGCTTGTGTCCCCCGATACGTTTTATTTGGATGGTCGTTTTCGCAACCACCATCAGAGGTACTACATTTGTAACCCGGTGACTAAAAAGTGGTTTCTCATTCCTGGAGAAACCCCTCTTGGAACAAGGGCAGGGTTTGCATTAATATGCAATAAGAACTCTTACAAGGTGGTACTTCTCGACAAGTTTACTACGGTTGATGCAAAAGGAAAAGAGTTTGTCGATGCATATGGACATACAGTGTCGGTGTTTTGCTCCGAGTCGGGGCAATGGACCAGATCTTTCTTCCTGTTTCCTCCTCGCCCAACAAGGGACTATGCCATTATCACCAATGTTGTTTCGTGCAATGGGATTCTGTACTGGATGGACGGTTTATATAACCTCGACCGCATTGTTTCTTTTGATCTGGCCAATAATCGGTTTCCCGTAATCTACTTCCCAGACATTGTGCGTGACAACACCACCAATGACACACCCGACTCGAGGGTCCACATTGGTGCCGTGAGGGATGAGTTGAGGTTGTTGCACATTTTGAGGGCCGGGCCGGGCCGGAAATGCTTTGTCATGAGGGCTTGGGAATTGGACCGTGGGGACGACATGTGGGCGTTGGTTGGCGAGAGGGAGTTGAGCTTTCCGGATGCCGTCACTGCAGATGGTGACCGGGATACTGTGGTGGCGGCCGTTTTTCATCCAAAAGATTATGATTCGATTTTCGTCATATGTGGAAAGAGTGTTTATGAGTGTGGGATTTCCAAGGACACGTGTCGCAGGCTCGGCGAGCTTCCGGAATCTGTAGGCGACGAGGGTCTTGCGTCCTTTGCTCTCTTGCATCCACCTTGGCCGACCCCAATTCCATTCGGGGTTTAGTTTGGAGCTTGTGTTTGCTCTCGTTTTCATTCATTTTCCTTTTATCGTTGCTTATATTTTGTTTTATGTTTCAATCATATTCGGATGAATATTTATTTACATTAAAAAAAAATCAAGTGAAAAAAAAAATCTGGACAAAATTCAAAANGTTATTTATTATTATTATGATATGATTTTGTTTTTTCAAAGTTTACTCCCATGATATGGAAAATGTTGCTACATTTGTTTATTTAGGCAAATGACACCAAAACCAACTTTTAAAAAAAACAAAAAAATAATAAACTCGTTCTGTTATACTTCTGCAAGAGGTATTATTGTGGCCTCTCTTCTCCTGTTCAACCTGAGCTAATTACATTTAAGGTGTGATTGTATATAATTTGTACAGTAAATATTCCATTTAAAACTCAAATTTAACTCAACTTCACTATCTCTAATATTATTAATATAATTAAATAATTTCAACCAATCATTATTACACATCACATCAACTTTATTTCACTTCACCCACTCACATAATTTTAACTAACTATCACTTCCAATCATTTTCTCATACTTTTACATCAAATCAACTTTAATTAATTTAATTTAATAATTATTTTAATATATCCACTAACAACTAATCATACTTCTTTTTTTCAAACTTAACTATAGTTAAAAAAACTAGTTTTTTACTAGTTGAATTCATATTCAATCACCCCCTAAACAATGCAATTGCCAAAGTACTGTTATACGGCCCTCATACAAGGCAATAAAATTTATACAAGAAAAAAAATGTAATACAAAATAAACGAACTGGATATGTTTTACTCCCCCTAAGACGTTAATATATCATCTATAAAAAGAATAACCATTTTTAAAAATGGTAAGTCAAATTCTTAGTCAACATATTTTGCATTAATTACTTGCCATTAATGGTAATAAATATTTTTTTTAAAGCTTCCCCGTGCAATTAATGCTTTCCAAGATTTTTGGGATGTTTATTTTCTAATTGACCAATGCACTGATTTTGCGTTAGAAAATCTTATCCCATTAAAAAATCTTATCCTATTAAATCTCCTTAATATAACACTTATTTATTATTTTATATTAAGAAATAATAATATCACGGATTTTGATTTTCAATCCTTCACAAATTAAAGAAACTTATAAATTAAATGTCAGCACTTATTTAATAATAAAAAAAAAATCGGTCTCTCCAAAACTCCATTCGAATTTTATTTAAAATCACGAATACCTTGGTCAATCAATTCTCCAAAATATAAGTCCGAGTTATTGTCTAATAATTTTATTAGAGTATCTACTATATAAAAAAGCAATTCTCCAAAATATAAGTCCGAGTTATTGTCTAATAAAAATTTTTTAGGATATCTACTCTATAAAAAAATTAGTTGTATTGTCTAATTATTTTTGTATGGTATTTGTAATTATTAATATTTTTGCTTAAAATTATTAATGTTTGTTAGACCAACGATTTTTTAGACTATAATATAGTATAATAGTGGATATAACACTAAATATATTTTTATATATAATATTATACATAAATTAAACACGTTGTTTGAGCAATTTTTTTACACATTCGTTAAAGTGTATATATATAGAGAGAGAAATGTTAACTTTAAGTGATTTTAGATATTTTTTTTTTATAAAATAATTTAGAAAAAAATGAGATAATTTCATATTTTTCAAGAATAATTAATATTTTAGATACTTTTACACACTTTATATAATAGTTTAGGTATTCTTAATGTTTTAAAAATATTTAGACAAATTTTTACATATTCTCTAGATTAAGAAATTGTTTTTCTTACAAAATAGTTTAGAAAAATTTTAGGTGACTTCACACATATTTCAAAAATAATGTAAAATATTTTGAATACCTTTTAAATATGTGATATAAGATTTTGTGTTAAAATAAAAAGAGAATAAGAGTTATAAAGCATGGTAATTTTAGATATAAAATTTTATTTTATTTGTTATAACTTTACATGGAAGTTATGTTATAATTATCGATATCATCTCAATGCCTTGCTTTGCTTTTTTTTTTTTTACTTGGTTTCGCGAGACAATATCTCTTATTAGACTCATAATATTTTATATAATTTTAAACATATTGTTTAGACAATTTTGTACATATTCTATCTATGTATACATGTCCACGTACACATATACATATACATATGTTGAATATAAATAGTTTTAGGCATGTTTTTTTTTACAAAATAGTTTAAAAAATTTTTAGATGACTCCACATCTTTCAATAATGATATTTAATATTTTAGATACTTTTACATATGTTATATAATATTTTAGATACTTTTACATATGTTATATAATATTTTAGACGTTTTTAATACTTTAAACATTCATTTTTTCAAATTCTTTTATACAAGATAATTATATATTATTTACAACTCATATACGATAAATTATATTACATATTAAGTTCACATCTTTAATTTATAATTATTAGTTAATATTATTTAACCTCATCTTTAATTTAGCACTAGACATCACATGGCGTATGCTTCTTATTAGCCAAGGAAACGATGGTGAATACTGAATTAATTAATTATACATCATACGTGCAACAAATCAAATTTTGTTGTACTAAATTTGAATCCCATTAAGTAAAAAAGGATCCAAGTGCAACTGTTGGATTAAAATTGCATAAAACCAATTATGTTTATTTAGGTTGTGTTTGGTAAAGCTAGCTGATAAGCTAGCTTATAGCTTATATGTAATTTTTGAGCTTATAGCTTATAACTTATGACTTATAGCTGAAAAGCTAGCTTATACGATAAAAGTGTTTGGTAAAATTAGCTGATAAGCTAGTTAAAATAAAAAATTCAACTAGCTTATTTGAAAAGCTACCTAAAATAGCTTATGAGATAAGCTCGAGCTTTTTAAATAAGCTCGTCCTACCAAACGTGACTTATTTGAATACAGAAAGCTTATAAGTTAACCAAATAGTTATAAGCTAGCTTATTTGGCTTACCAAACACAACCTTAGGCGTGAGCAACGATGGACCGAATTAGAGACACTCACACAAATCAAATCAAACCCGCTCCTATAAATAGCAGACAATTAGACATTATTATCACACAAATCAAACTAAACACATGAACCACGTTATCATTTAATAANNAAAAAAAAAAAAAAAAAAAAAAAAAAATGGCATTGCCTGACGGGATAAAATCCAGTGAAGAGCTACTGGAGGCTCAAGCCCACATTTGGAATCACACTCTATGCTTCATAAACTCAATGTCCTTAAAATGCGCCATCGAACTCGGCCTCGCCGACATCATCCACAAACATGACGGCCCCATCACAATCTCCCAACTAACGGACTCCCTTAAAATCAACGGCTCGAGATCCACCTGCTTACGGCGCCTCGTGCGCCTGCTGGTCAACTCCCGGCTGCTGACCAAAGTCAACTCCCGGATTGAACTTTTCAACTAGAACTAAACAGATTGGTGTGCACAATTTTTGATCGGTGCACTCTAAACACCAGCCGATGGAATTAGTACACAATATCCAACCAAAATTTGACTTGCTTTTAGGAAAGATGAATTTATCTATTGAACTAATTTATCAATATTATCATAGTTTTTTTTTTTTTTTTTTTTTTTCTTTTATTCCATACCTCCCACTCTACCTGTATGTATGTAAGACAGATCATGGCATATTTGGAGGAGATAATTGAACCGGACGTGGCCTTTTTCAGGCCTTACAAACTCTGTCGGTGAGTGTTAGAAGTCGAGATCAGAATATCGCTGGGTTTTAATGTCGGTGACCGAATTTGTCATCTGTTTTCATATGGAACTTTACCAATTTTGTAGTTTCATTCTGTTAAATGATGGAACGTCATGAACATCTTTTATAATCGTATCAAACTAACAAAATAACAATGATACAGCAGATAGTATAATTTGGGATTACACACATGTAAAAACACCCATAAGCTACACAGGGGAAGGTAACATCCCCAGTTCACACCACATACTACATCAGGCTAAGATGCCTTTATTGTGTTAAATAAATACTTAACACAGTCATAAAACACATTTGAATTAAACAACAGAATACATCAAAACCGACACCCGAGCAACATCACGGGCCTACTCGATGCCATTTCTCTTCCTTGCAGTCAAAACAAACTCGTAAATCTTGTTAGGATCGGCCAAGGACTTAGACACACTCTCTTTCTCCATGCACCTCTTAGCCCATTCAATCAATTTGGGGCAATGCTCCTCGATGCTGAAGTTGCCAACAGTTTCATAGGCATGAAACCAACAGTAGAAAGGAACTAAGGCCACATCAACAAAACCGAAGCTATCCCCACCAAAGTAAGGCTTGTCCCCCAGCTCAGGTTCTAATAGCTTGAGGGCCTCTATAAACTCTTTTTTGCCCACTTCTTGTTCTTCTCCTTTTGTTGTCCATATCTTTCTACTGGATTCAGGTACCTAATTGGACAATCCATATGATGATCATGATTGATATATAAATTGGTACACCAACTTATTAAATTTATCACTAAATGTTAGAATTGGCAAATTATTGTATTAAAATATATAATCAATGAAACGGAATAAAATTGTACCTTCTTGTCGACAAAATCAGCCCAGAATCTAGCTTGAGCTCTCTTGTAAGGATCATTAGGCAATAACGGAGAGTGGTCCTTCCAAACATCGTCTATGTACTGAACTATGTTGAGCGACTCGCAAACGGGTTTCCCGTTGTGAATGAGGACCGGGATTTTCTTGTGAACCGGGTTCATCTCAAGCAGAACCGGGCTTTTGCTTGCCAGATTCTCCTCCCTGTGCTCGTACTCCACGCCCTTTTCAGCTAACGCGACTCTAACCCTCATCGCAAACATGCTAACATATGCTCCGAGAACGACCACTTGATCCGCCATTGCTTTTTTGGTTCTGAACAAATTCAAAAGCTTTGAGATTGTGAATTAAACAAACCACTATGGTGTGTATTGACAGCCCAAAATGGGGTTTATATATTATATTGTCTGATGCTTTTGGGGGGAGAGAAAATGTAGTGTTGTGCAAGTCAATTTGGATTTTAATTTCTGGTTGGGGAATTCTTCTAGGTAGAAAAGTCCTACTTCCCTTACATAATAAATCCGTTTACCCAAATCAGTTTGAATGGAAAATTATTTGACACAAATCTGTATTCCTATTCACGTATATATGGTGTGTGTAGTGGGCCTGCCAGAAACTAAGATGAAACTGGATGGAATTTCCACAGATACAGGCGAGGACACGGTCCATGGTGAAGACATATTATCATTGCTAGATGATATTCCTTTGTGTGATTTTGTAGTTTGTCATTAGAACTTGTATTTGGTGTATTATTGTGGTTGTGTTCCACTCGAGAGTGAAGATTTGTTTCCATTCGTGTGTGGTAGTCGATCTTAGGAAGGACTAGTGCACTTATAACCGGTTGGTTATGCCTGTACGAACTACTATTGATTTGAGTTTTAATTGAAGTTTATCGTTAAGGAAAAAAAAAAATTTCACGTATAAACAATACTAGTAACATACACCTACCTTTGATTACACGGATTTGTATATTTCTCGCCTTATATTATAATAGTTTTTTAATGGAGGAAAATGAGTGTGGTCTTTCATCCCAAAATCAATTGGTGGAAGGAAGAGTAACTCACTAGACTTATAAGTTAGATCTATTTTTCCTATATAAATGATATGGGACAACTCACAAGTGATATTCTAACATTATAAATTTATACATAATTTTTTAATTGAATATAAATTTATTAATTTTTACTTAGTATGAAAAGATTATATTATTTTTAATAAAAATATATTATTTTATTTTATATATGCAATATGAATATAATCCTGACCTATAGAAACTACTTCCAAACACCAGAATTGACATATAAAAAAACTTATTATAATTCGACACATACGATTACGAAGCACCAAACACGTAGAAATGAACATTCTGCAATCTATACTTATATAATAAGCCATCCTATTTACTAAATTTAGTAGGAAATAAAGTCAAAGGACAATTACTGCATTATATTTCCATCATTTTTCCAATTGTATTATTATTTTATAGCTAAAAAAATCGGTCTGCATTAATTCCAACTTTAATTGATGTGTTTTGCAATTAAATCGAACAGATAAGACTCTAAGTAAAACATGTCTCATTTCAAATTTAAATTTAAATTTTACAATTTCTTATTATTTTGTTACATTAAAATCCTAAATGAATTGTTTTCCATAAAATCGGACAAAATAATAATTGCATAGAATTCAAGTAAAAACATGTCTCATTTAAAATTTAAATTTTAAAATTCATTATCATTCTGTTACATTTCCGAATGATTTGTTTCCCATAACATCGGACGAAATTAATAATTGCATAAAATTCAAGTATGATTCCGAATTTATATCGAGGATGTTTAATAATTGCATAGAATTTCAAAGATTTTTATTTATTTAAAAAAAATAAATTCTAGAAAAACATTTGTGTATATTTTGTAAAATTTTTGTACAATTATTTTTACTTTAAATTTATTTACATAATTTAAATTAATTACATTAATAAATAATATTAACATACATTAAATATTTTAATTACATAAAACAAAAAGAAGAGAAGACTACATCTATAACTTGTATAAATAATAATAATAATAACATTATATTACAATAAATTTTATAATAAAATAATATAAGTATTATACGAGGAACAAGATTACATAAAATTGTTATTTTTCTTATATCAATGAATAAATATATATAATGAAATCAAATTTATATTATTATAAACATGTGAGCGAGATAATATATTAATTAATTTACGGTCTACCGCTACCACTACCAGACTCAGGTTTAATGTCTCGACAAAAAAGATGACGTGATGAAAGAGGTAAAAAAATAGATGATCAAACTCTATTATTTTTTTAGGTGTGAACTGACACGCCCTATTGTCTACTCATTTAATATCTCTCATGAATCACACGAGCTACTTAACGGACAAACTCTGTGGAAATGACTCATTTAATATTTATGTCCCGTGCATCGCACGGGCTACGTACTAGTTAAACAAAAAAAGGCAACTCACCATGCTTCTGCAAATCATTCTGTAACTGAAACTATTGCCTTATTTAAGAAGGAAAAAAAATACCAAATAGAAACGGATCTGTTGAGAATAATTAGTATATGTGTTGTTTATGGTATATTAATATTATTTGCTAATAGAATAGAAAAAAATAAAACTAACAGTTTAATTAAAGTATATTATATGTGTGTGTATATGTGAGAGTCGTATGGTAGATTGAAATCGCAGTNAAATATATTTGTTAAATAATAAATATTTTAATTATATTAAATTTATATCAGTCTTACACTACCGAATTTATTAATAGTATATATACTTTGCATATAGTTTAACCTTTACTTTAAACTTTGAATATTGTGACATAAACTTTATATGGATATATGATAAATATATTACAGATTATATATAGATTTAGGAAAGAAAAGATAAGCAAATTATATACTATGAGTAAAATATGTTGGTTAATTTATATATGTGAATGTCCTAATATAAACTATATAGATTGAATAAACCAAATATATACCATTATATAAACTTTCTAGTAGTGAATAAAAAGAGACTAGTTGAACTTCAAGTGAATAATATTCGGATAAACCAAATATATACCATTATATAAACTTGTATAGATATGGGTATACCGTATACCTATAATAATGCGTACACATGATGACTGCATGAACTGAATACAAACTAGGGTTTTGAGCGAAAAAATATTCGGATGCGTGTAATTCAATATTGCCTACCTACTATAGCAATAAATGGTAGCAATGTTATCCCTGAAATCTCGTTTTCTTTCTATATTAAGGAATGAATAATATGTAATACAAAAACTGCCAAACATGTTTTTATGTCATAATAAACTTTTCTTTTCGTTTGAATGGCATAAAGGCTCGTATAAATAAAATATAATTATTAAACTCGTTAATTGAGTGGAATAGAAAGTTGGAGACGTAGAGGGGGTAATTTTCTCAAATTCATGACTATCCAATATTCCATAAAAAAATCCATGAAAATAATAGGTGGCCTAGATTTCCAAAAATGTTAGGAATCATTCAAGTTTATATATAAATCTATTTCTATTTCTATATTTATACCTATATCTATATAAAGAGCATCCTATTTACTAAAATTAGTAGCAAGAAAAATTAAAAGATTTTTAATGCATTCTATTTCCATCAATTTTTTTAATTTTATTATTATTTTATTGCTAAAAAACCGGTTTGCATTAATTCATCCTTAATTGATGTGTTTTGCAATAAAATCGGACAGATAAACTTAAAAAAAACATGTCTCATTTCAAATTTAAATTTAAATATTAAAATTTCTTATCATTTTGTTACATTTCCGAATGATTTGTTTCATATAACATCGGACGAAATTAATAATTGCATAAAATTCAATAATGATTTTGAATTTATATCAACGATGTTTAATAATTGCATAGAATTTCAAAGATGTTTATTTATTATAAAAAAATAAATTCTAAAAAACAATTGTGTATATTTTGTAAAATGTTTGTACAAAATGTTTTACTTTAAATTATTTACATAATTTAAATTAATTACATTAATAAATAATATGAATATACATTAAATATTGTAATTACATAAAACAAAAAGAAGAAGAATACTACATCTATAACTTGTATAAATCAACATAATGACATTATATTACAATAAATTTTATAATAAAATAATATGAGTATTATACGAGGAATAAAATTACGCAAAATTGTTATTTTTCTTATATCAAGGAATAAATATATATAATGAAATCAAATTTATATATTATAAACATGTGAGCGAGATAATATATTAATTAATTTACGGGCTAGCGCTACCAGACTCAGGTTTAATGTTCTGAAAAAAAAATGACGACGATGAAAAGATGTAAAAAGATAGATGTTACGATAAATGCTACTTTGGCGCAGTTTCATAGTTCTCAATAACAAAAATTATTGTCTTCACTTTATTAGCGACACCCTTAATTTGGTCACAAATGTACATATCCCATGACAAAATCGTCACACTTTTAGTAAAATAATACGATGGACAAAAAAAATTATTACAACCATTTTTTATAAATTGTTAAAAAAAAAGTGGTATTCATTAATTTTTCTCTTAACAATCAATCACAAATTATTGCATTAAACTTTAGGGCTGCAAACGAGTCGAGCTGAGTCGAGCATTGGCCTTATCGAGCAGAATTAATTTTTTTTAGTTGCTCGAGCTTGATTTTTGAGGCTCGAGCTCGACTTGAAATCAAAATGCTTGAGCTCGGCTCGAATTCGGCTTAAAAATTTTAAGTGAGGATGTAAAATTACCATTAAGGACCTATAATAATATATATGTAAAAGAGTATTTTAGTAATTTATATGTATCTCGAGCCGCTCGACGAGTCGCTCGACAAGACAAAATATGGGCTCGAACTCGACTCGAGTTCGGTCAAACTCGAGCCGCGCTGTTCGTTTGCAGCCCTACATGGAACAACTTAATCATTAGGTATTGGACGTCCCATATATTTTTATGACAAAAATGCAAACATATATTTAGAAATATCATATTTTTATTTACATTGCTAGAATATGATATTTCAAAACGTATGTATAATATATTAAAAATAGGATTAATTTGACTTTACCAAAGAAAAAAGAAAAATATTTTTNAAAAAAAAAAAAAAGAAAAAGAAAAATATTTTTAGATCTAACAAATATTTATAAAGTAGAAAAATAAAGGGGGAAGAAAATAAAATAAAAGGAAAAGTGAAAAATCTGATCTCTCCCATCCTTCCGCTACTGCCATTTGTAGGGTTCCATTTCTGCAAATCCTGCGAGTTTCCTTCTCATCTCGAATCGAGTGTGCACCATTTTCCTTGTTTAATCGTCCCATTTGGGGGGTTCCCGTTGAAATCGGCAAGCTGTCCATGATGAGCGCCGGCGCCGGCGGTCCCGAGTGGCCGTCGAACAGAGAAAACGACCCTGTTGGAGACGAGCCCGCCGTCCCTTTAACAAGCGGCTGTACAGCAGCTGGTGCTGAGAACGAAGCTAGTGTTTCACTCTTTGGTGCCGACAGTTCAACTGACACAAGGGTTTCCGATAATGTGAATGAATCTGGGGTTTTGAAGTTCGAAAATGATGAAACTAGTCCGGACGATGCAAGTGGAGGAGCTTTGGAGAATCAGCACAGTCATTCTGTTTCGAGAAAAAATGGTCATGGCGAGGAGAGTACTGACGCACGCGATTGCAAGTATGCGGGTAAGAAAGCAAAAGGTGCAGTTGCCAATTACGATTCGATTTTGTCTGAGTTTGATCACTTTGCTGCTAAAGGATCTTCTGAAGCTGTTAGATTTGGATATGAAATTGGGGATATGGTGTGGGGCAAGGTGAAATCCCATCCATGGTGGCCTGGTCACATTTACAATGAAATCCCATCCAAGCGGGAGGGCCATGTGTTGGTAGCGTTTTATGGAGTCAGTAGCTACGGGTGGTTCGAACTAGAAGAGCTAGTTCCATGTGAAGAGAACTTTGCTGAGAAATCGCGGCAAACTTCTTCGAGAGCTTTTGTTAAGGCAGTGGAAGAGGCCGTGGACGATTTGTCACGAAGAAGGGGCTTGGGTTTGGCCTGCCGGTGTAGAAATGAGTTCCACTTCGGGCCTTCGAAGAAGGAGGGCTACTTTGTTGTAGATGTTGGGGATTGTGAACCTGGGGTGTTCTCTTCTCGTCAGATAAACAAAGCGAGAGATGATTTTCGGCCAAAGAAAATGCTTTCTTATGTCCTACAAATGGCCTTGACACCCATGACTGACCAGCATTGGACAATTGATTTTATCAAGAACAAGTCCACGGTTTTAGCGTGCAGGAAAGCACTGTTTGAGGAGTTTGACGAAACATATGCACAGGCCTTTGGAAGTGTACCGGACCGCCCTCCTCGGCCAACTAGACCAATAGCTGTGGATCCATCTAAAGGTATCTTTATATGATGCTTCCCCGTAATTTTATGGTTTTATTCCTTGTGAAGTCTCTTTGCCCTTAAGCTTTTGTGTCTTTTTAATCCGTGAAAGAGGCCTTTATCATATTTGTTAAGTTGGCATTGTAATACCATAAGAGGCAAGGCATGTATACCTTTGTGGATGAGATGAAATCATGGCGTCATGTATACTGGAACTTATATTGAAAGGGACTTATGGTTATTGGCTATTTAAGTAAGCGTGCAAAAATGTTTCGGATACTACAAAAGGGAAAACTGGAAGAGTTCACTGTTCTGCTTTGAGGGTCACGTTACTATGTATGAGTATCGTGGACGTGGAGCTGCTGATGGTATCTAAATTTTTCACGTTCACTGGTTTAGTTTTGTAATGTCATTTAGAAAGCCATGTTGCTGCAGATATATAGCTGGAAACTGGGTATATACTCATGCATCTTCATCACTTGTACTTTTACGTATGTATAACTGGAACTACCTCTATTTCTATGATCATTTCCTATGTATCAAATAAGAACTACTAAAGCATTTACCATAGTCTTCACGATAGTGCTTTTGACTCTTTACCCCTTTCCACTTTTAAGGTGTATTTTTCTGTTTAGTGTTTACCATCTTTAATCTGTATTGTTGTTCTGGGTGACACAAATATTTTCGCTTTATGAATCAATAAAAACTAGAATATTATGAAGCACAGACCCGGTTTGTTACATTGACTATGTTTTACGGGTCATTGCCCTTCCCCAGTCTCGAAAAGAAAAATAATAATTAAATATATGCTTCAACTTGGATAGGGCAACTATCTTTTAGGCCCAATTTATTGCAGCTCATGGAATTGTTAGTTATCCTTACATTGTTGTCTTGAAGGAACAGTCATTGATATATTTTATATTTGTGATTTTCTTGGTAACTAACTCTTAAAATTAACTTTCCTGTAGGGAATGGGAAATTTGTGATGAGGGTTGCTGTGGAGGCTTGATGAAATTTACTGTAGGCACACACAGGAACCTTTTGGGTTTTTAAAGCAAAATGACATTTAGGCCGGTGGCTCAGGAGCCTGAGGGGTGCATCATGAACTGGAGCAACGGCGAAGATGTTCTCACCAACTGCGTGAAATTCCAACATATCTCCTGCGACCCAGCCATTTGCCTCATGTCAAGCACGCCAACCACCAGCCCAAGGAAAAGCTTGGAGGCTCTGTCTCATTAAAGCTCTCACGTGAAACTCGCCAGCAAGGGTGAGGAAGGTGACTTGCACTCGGGGAGCATGAAAAACGATATGGGCATGTAGGTTGTCATGTATTTCAAGATTTCAAAGATCAGACTTTCGTTGCAATGGCGAGGTCAGGTTCCTCCTCAGCTGCAATGACGGAGGCAGGTTCCTCCTCAGCTGCAATGACGGAGGCAGGTTCCTCCTCAGCTGCAATGACGGGGGCAAGTTCATTGATTTTTCAGTGTCAAAGTGTTAAAACACTAAATGCAATCCCAATCCCAGGGAAGATACCCATAGTCAGAAACAAACCCCAAGAAAACATACCCACAAAGTTTAAATTCCAAACATTGAAGATCAGAAGTCAATTCGGTTTTTAAAGCAAAATGACATTTAGGTCGGTGGCTCGGGAGCTTGAGGGGTGCATCGTGAACTGGAGCAACGTTCACGGCGAAGATGTTCTCACCAACTGCGTGAAATTCCAACCTATCTCCTTCGACTCAGCCATTTGTCTCATGGCAAACACGCCAACCACCAACCCAAAGAAAAGCTTGGAGGCTCTGTCTCATTGAAGCTCTCATATGAAACTCGTCAGGGGTGAGGAAGGTGACTTGCACCCGAGGAGCATGGAAAACGATATGGGCTGTAGGTTATGTATTTCAAGATTTCGAAGATCACTGTTGGTTAGGACTTTCGTTGCAATGGCGAGGTCATGTTCCTCCTCAGCTTCAATGAGGGCCAGGTTCTTCCTCAGCTGCAATGACGGGGGCAGGTTCTTCCTCAGCTGCAATGACGGGGCCTCCTCAGCTTCAATGACGGGGCCAGTTCCTCTTCAGCTGCAATGACGTGAGCAGGTTCTTCGTCAGCCATGTTTCTGCAATGAAAAAACTGTTTCACTCCCCCAATCATATAAATCATATAAACTACAGCATAAGGAAATACTTTGTCATATGTATGTTTTTATTTAAAAAACAATAAATGTATAAGAAAGAAATTTTCAAGAAGAACAATATCAAACAATCCTTGTACATTTGTTTGATATTGTTCTTGTTGAAATATTCTTTCTTATATATTTATTATTATTTTTTTTAATCAAAACATACATATGACAAAGTATTTTCTTATACTGTAGTTTATATGATTTATATGATTGGGGGAGTGAAACAATTTTTTCATTGCAGAAACATGGCTGACGAAGAACATGCTCACGTCATTGCAGCTGAAGAGGAACTGGCCCCGTCATTGAAGCTGAGGAGGAACCTGCCCCCGTCATTGCCCCCGTCATTGCAGCTGAGGAAGAACCTGGCCCCGTCATTGCATCTGAGGAGGAACCTGCCCCGTCATTGCAGCTGAGAAAGAACTTGCCTCCGTCATTGCAGCTGAGGAGGAACCTGCCCCCTCATTGAAGCTGAGGAGGAACATGACCTCGCCATTGCAACGAAAGTCCTAACCAACAGTAATCTTGAAATACATAACCTACAACCCTTATCGTTTTCCATGCTCCTCGGGTGCAAGTCACATTCATCACCCTGGCGAGTTTCATATGAGAGCTTCAATGAGACAGAGCCTCCAAGCTTTTTTCTTTGGGTTGGTGGTTGGCGTGCTTGCCATGAGACAAATGGCTGAGTGGAAGGAGATAGGTTGGAATTTCACTCAGTTGGTGAGAACATTTTCGCCGTGAACGTTGCTCCAGTTCACGATGCACCCCCTCAAGCTCCCGAGCCACCGACCTAAATGTCATTTTGATTTTAAAATCGAATTGACTTCTGATCTTCAATGTTTGGAATTTAAACTTTGTGGGTATGTTTTCTTGGGGTTTGTTTCTGACTATGAGTATCTTCCCTGAGATTGGGATTGCATTTAGTGGTTTAATACTTTGACACTGAAAAATCAATGAACATTGATTGCACAACATTGAAATTTGAACTCTGTGGGTATGTTTTGTTGGAAAATTGTTTCTGACTATGGGTATTTTTCATGGGATTGATATTGCATTTTATGTTTTAACGCTTGACACTGAAAAATCAATGAACATTGATTGCACAACTTTTCATAGGGAGACAATGGTTGCAATTTTAATTTCAAATGAAGCACATAAATGTATTATTCTCCATATAGTTCAATATGAGAAATTTTATATTTTGTGACGATATTTTACACGAATTAAAACTTGTCTAATTTGTTGAGTAAAAACGGCAAATTTTATTTTTGCCACTTTTTTTGGTGAAAATATTAACTTATGCCATTTAATCACACCTCTTATGACAATTTTGTGTGTGACGAAAAAGATTTTGTCTCAATATGGCATGCAATAATAACAATTTTTTTTTTGTTCATTGATAAGTCTTTCCATTTATGTCATCATTGGATATGGCCACTAAATTACATATTTTATGACAAATATTTATTAGGATGAGTGTTACTTTGTCACAATTTCATAGTTCTCAATTACAAAAATTATTGTCTTCACTTTATTAGCGGCACCCTTAATTTGGTCATGAATGTACATATTCCATGACAAAATCGTCACACTTTTAGTAAAATAATACAATGGACAAAAAATATTATTACAACCATTTTTTATAAATTGTAAAAAAAAAGTGGTATTCATTAATTTTTCTCTTAACAATCAATCACAAATTATTGCATGGAACTTTAGGTTTACAAACGAGCCGAGCCAAGTTGAACATTGGCCTTATCGAGCATGATTGATTTTTTTTTAGCTGCTCGAGCTCGAGCTCGATTTTTGAGGCTTGAGCTCGACTAGATACAAAATTACAATAGCTCGAGCTCGACTCGAAATCAAAATGCTCGAGCTCGGCTCAAAAAATTTTAAGTGGAAAGGTAAATTACCATTAAGGACTTATGATAATATATATGTAAAAGGGTATTTTAGTAATTTATATGTATCTCGAGCAGCTCGACGAGCCGCTCGACAAGACAAAATATGGGCTTGAGCTCGACACGAGTTCATGCTCGAGCCGCTGGAGCTCGACTCGAGTTCGGTCAAACTCGAGCTCGAGTCGAGTTTTGACTCGAGCTCTCGTGAGCGGCTCGCGAGCCCCTCGGTTCGTTTGCAGCCCTACATGGAACAACTTAATCGTTAGGTAGTGGACATCCCATATTTTTTTATGACAAAAATGCAAACATATGTTTTGAAATATCATATTTTTATTTACATTGTTAGAATATGATATTTTAAAAAGTATGTATAATATATTAAAAATAGGATTAATTTGACTTTACCAAAGAAAAAAGAAAAATATTTTTAGATCTAACAAAAATTATAAAGTAGAAAAATATAGGGGGAAAAAAATAAAATAAAAGGAAAAATGAAAAATCTGATCTCTCCCATCCTTCCGCTACTGCCATATGTAGTAGGGGTGGGCACGGTTCGGTACGTTCGAGATTGGACCTGTCCCAGTTTTTTGAACCGGTCCGGGACGACACCTTGTCCCAAACGAAACGGTATCAACCGGGACCGGGACAAAACGGAAAAAAAAATGTTCAAAAATCAAACTTCAAACTAAACTATTCCCTGTTGGCCTGTTTAGCTGTTTCACAATTTATAAAGCTACAACCAAGCATTCAAATGAATCAATCTGCAACCATTGACCATTCCAAGGTTCACTTACAGTCTTACACTTAGTAACTTACACCAAAAAGTAAATTAAACATTGTCTTAAAACAAAACGCCAAAGGGTACATACTACTGATTTCAGTCTATCACAAACATGAACAATACTTCAAAATTCAAACTGAAAGCAAAGTAGCCTAATTCCAATCATCATAACAACCATCTTCATCTTCCAAGCTTTCCACATCAACCACCTTATCCCCAGCAGTCATTTTTGCATTGTACAACTCTACAAAATGGAAAACAAAGTTAATTATTACTTTATAGTTTAAAAGAGCAATAATCAAAGTATGAAACTAAAAATAAATTATAAAATCAACAATCAAATTCTGAAACTGAAAGAAATCAAGAATGAAACTGAAAAAGTATATAGTACATGTCTCAATATTTTCATAGAATTCTAACTCTTGAGTTGAAGGTTCATTCTCAAAGTCCATGACTATTTCATCTCCTCTAAGCCAATTTTGCATGCAAATCAAGACCTCCACAGATTTAGGAGTTAATGAACTCCTAAATGAATCAATCACTCTCTCTCATGTGCTAAAAGCACTCTCAGAAGCCACTGTTGATACTTGAATAGCAAAAATATCTTTGGCAAGTGTAGAGAGAACTGGATACCGGGAGGCTGCATTTTTCCACCATTGCCATATATCAAAGGATTTATATTTCTCTATCACATCACCTTTTTTATCCTTAATGGCTAACAAAGGATCTTTCAGATATGCATCAATCTCATGTTCTATTGTTGCCTCATCAGTTTCTGTGACATGTTTGGTCCAATCAACAACATACTTCAAGTTGTTGTTGCCTATATTAACCCTACTCCCAACATTTGAATCACTGTCTTTCATTTTTTGCCTCTTCATGTTGTTGATGTTGCTGCTACCACCGACTCTACACTTCTTTTATTCAAACTTTTATCATTTTATGCACTATACTCTTCAAACAACTCAAACAATAGTTCTTTGATCTCTTTTTCCTTCTTCTCAACCTCATAATCACTCCACATCAACTCAACAGACAATAATATAGTGACATGCTTCTTCTTAAACCTTGGATCCATCACAATTCCCACAAAAATTAAAGGGTTCATATCCTTCAGTTGACCAAAGTATTTGTTATACTTGGTTTTCATTAGTGATGCAATGTCAGCCATTAATCTATGAGTTGCAGTAAGGGGGCACATATTGATTTGCTGTTCATAGCTGATTCCATGTTAACAATATCATGAAAGGTAGTGTGAATGGTTGGGTGATTAGAGGCACTTACCCTAAGTGTGACATCATAAAAAACATGAAGAAAGCTTATAAAATGTTCACATGCATCCCAATCTGAATCCCTTAGTGGCCCAAATTCTTTTTGTCCTTTTTCTGAACAATTACATTTCCATCATCATCAAACTCCTCATCAGGCTCATTAAAGTATGCAAGATATGGGTTGCCCACCTCTTGTTCCATTCTTTTGAATGCTCTTTTGAGTTTCAAGGCAGAATCCAACATCAAATATGTTGAATTCCATCTTGTTGGCACATCTAAGCAAACCAATCCCTTGTAATCAATTTTTGCCCTAACCACAGCCTTCTTAAGAAGGGTCAACCTAGATGGTGAGCTTGTTACAAACTTTACAGCATTTCTAATTGCCAAAATGGTAGAGTTCAGCTTTTTAAGACTACTGCCAACTATTAAGTTTGTAATGTGTGCCACACATCTCATGTGCAAATGTTTCTCCCCCCAAAATCAAAGGTGAATTCACAGAATCATTTAGCTTTTCAACCAAATACTCTAAGGCTACCTTATTGGCAGAAGCATTGTCCACTGTAATAGTTAAAACTTTATCAACTCTCTAATCAGCTAGACATTGTTCAATTAAGTTAGCTACAGTAATCCCCTGATGGTTGGTAATAACACAGAAATTCAACACCCTTTTATGCATTTTCTAATTTGAATCAATAAAATGGGCTGTTAAAACCATATAGTTGCAGTTTTGGACACTGGTCCAAGTATCAGTGGTTAGGCAAACTCTTTGGGAAACAAGATCTTTTTTTAGTTGTTCTTTCTTAGCTTCATACATATCTAAGAAAGTTCTGACAAGAGTTCTCCTAGATGGGACCTTAAACAATGGCATTCCTGTGGCACAAAACTTTCTAAACCCCTTTTTCTCCACAAAATTAAATGGCAATTCATCAAGAACTACCATTTCCACACAAGCCTGCATTGTTTGTTTTTTTATCAAAACCTTTACAAGCAAGTTGGTTATAATCTCCCTTTTCCCATGTTATAACTTTTTGCTTACTTAAATCAATATTGGCAGGATACCTTTTACAGTTCTTAGGTATATGCTTGTTAGGTCCCCCAGTCCCATTTGGTCCACTCTCTGCAGCAAAATCACCTTGTCCCCTTGGACAATATTTGCATTTAGCCCTCTCTTTATATTCAACAACATCTTCAATCAACTCCGATTATAGATTCTTAACTTTCTTAACAGTTCTAACCCAATAAGTAGTAAAATGTTCCCAAATGAAGGACCTATAAACCCTAGCCTTCATACCTGGTGGAAGCTCATATAGAATATTCGGCCCGGTTGGCATATTTGCGGGCTGCACCACCACAGGCACGGGATTAGAAGCGCTGCTTGGTGTTGGTGGAGTTTCCATTGTCGGTGAATGCCACCCAGCTGCAGGAATTTTCGGAGATGTGCCGCAGGATTTAGACATGGTATTTGAAAATTAGGGTTCTTGATTTTTTAATTGGGAATTTGAGATTTGAGGATTAAAACTTGAGCACAGAGCTATATATATTGAATTAGGGTTTTGATTCTGAATTTGGGAACTGAATAAAAAAAAATGGCGAGATTAGAGGTGCTGATCGCGATTTGAATGGCGACGCGATGAAGATGCCGAGATGGAGAAGAGAAATTGAATTGGGAATTTGGGAATTTGTATTCTGTAGTCTGTGCGTTGTGCCCGTAAATATAAATGTTAATGACTTAATGTGTATTAATTTATTATTTAATGTTTTCATTTTTTGGGTCAATTGTCTTAACAAACAAGTGAATTGGGCTTTCCTTTCNAGATGTTTGCTTATGGAATTCCTCAAAAAAATTCCAACATTTTAACCTAACCACTTTTTTTAACTCAACCCTACTATCATCAAAATTATCAATATAATTAAATAATGTCAATAAATCATTCATACAACCACATCAACCTTAATTCACTATTCATCCACTCACATCTATTACTATATAAGTAGACAAGTCACTTACTAAATATAGAAAGTTTTTGGTGTGACCCTCATCCCATTACTATAAATGGAAAGTCTTATTTTTGTACCATGTGTATTGGAAAAACTGCCGACTATTTTACTTAATTAGTTTTTCCTTTGGGAAGGATTTTTCATGAAAAATAATATGTTTTTTAAAATTATACAGTTTGTTTTTTAATTAATAATTTTGGTTAATAAAAATATTATACTCTACTCATAAAATATAAAAAATATGTATATACGTCAAATTTTATGATAGACAATGAACAATATAGCATTCGCACTGATTATTAAAAATTAGATTTTTATTAAAGAAATTGGCAACTGCCACATACTAGATAACTTAACATTTTCATTTTCTTTTGCGCATTGAGAAACACGAAATATTTCTTTTGCGAATGAACTGATAATTAACATTAATTTATTAAAAAATGCTACAACTGCCATGCCATAGATAATCGATATTTTATTGTCTTGAGCATTGACAAACAAAAAATATATGTCATCTATATCTATATATATAAAATAAGAATAGACTTAAACCAAATATAATAAGTATTTTCCGCCATTATGCATTAATTACATTCTAATTATAGTAATTTTACATAATTCCTTAAAACAAATCTTGAAGCATTAATTGTAATCAGTTTTAACTTCTCTTAACAACCGGATTTATTGTTTCAAAATGATACTCCATAATATTTTATTAAACACTAAATCTGGATGTTTAGAATCAATTATATTTAAAAGCAGTATTATTATGGAAACAAATATTATGGAGTATTTTTCTAAAATCAGTATAATTATAGAATCAAATAATTTAAACACGATTCAATCTTTTTAATTCACTCGACATCTCTTTTTAGGCTTATCAATTCATTTTAATGTAATATATATTTACCGTAAAAATGAGAGTAGGACTTTACAATAATCATCGTATCAATATTAATAATATAAATGCTAAATAAAATTTAATTATTTGGACTGTACACTTTATCATATACATATAAAGAAATCACATATTTGAACTTTAAATTTTTTATTTTTTTCACTTATAGTTATGCAATATATGCAACGTAATTAAAGTAAAAAATATTGCAAATATTTAATTTCAATTATAGTAACATGTTTTTTAAAATTGCTACAATATTCGATTCACTATTCCACTATTCATGTAAACATCTTTTTGTTTATATTATCACGGTTATCTTTTTTTTATCATTTTGAAACATTTCTTTTATCCATTTATTTATGAAACATTTTTTTTCATTTAAAAACCGTGATTTACATGTCATCCAATTCATTTAGTTAGGTTTGAGCTACAAATGATAAAATATTGTTGTTGTTGTTGTTGTTTTTTTTTAACGTAATTATTTTTGTATATATTGTTTTACAAAAGAACAATCAAAATTCCAAATTTCTGTTAAAAAGATATACTCAAAATCCACACTTAAGGTAACAACTCTTCTTATATTCTATGTAAAATTAAACTTCACGAGATAAATCATATCTTTAGTATTTATCACAATATTACATATTTTCACTGTAGTTCTATTTCGTGATGGTAACATTCCGAAAATCAACAAAATATTGAAGGAATGAGGTGTCTATGCAATTAGCAATTTTTCAAGTGGAGAGCAATCTTGATAAATTTAATCTACGGTTGCCAAGTGCAGAATAATTTTGCATGGAAAAACTAAGAAGTTTTTCATAATGTACGACTTTTTCACGATGAACATTTTACGATTACCTAACAAATGCTCTATGTATTATAACTTATTGATTAATAGCCTTCAATTATAAATTTTACCAAAACAAATACAGCCCGTGCATCGCACGGGATTACATACTAGTTATTTTAACTAACCATCACTTCAAATCTCTCTCTCCTACCTTTACATCAAATCAATTTTGATTATTTTATTATAAATATTATTTTAATATACCCACTAACATCTAACCATACTATCTTTTTCACAATTAACCAAACCAAACCAAAAACTCCAAACAAAACCAAAAATTTTTATAAACAAATATGCACTTAAGATTTCATTAATAAATATAAATTAAGGTATATATATATATATATATATAATATTTTTGTACAAAAAAAATAAAACGGGACAAACGGGACGGTTCGGGAAAAAAATATTAAAAACCGATACCGACATTGTTTCAACCGGTTCGGGACAGGGACCGGGACCGGGACCGGGACCAAAATTTTAAAAACCAATTAGAACCCTAATTTTTCGGTCCGGTTCGGGATCGGGAAATCCGGTTTTTTTGCCCACCCTACTATTTAGGGTTCCATTTCTGCAAATCCTGCGAGTTTCCTTCTCATCTCGATTCGAGTGTGCACCATTTTCCTTGTTTAATCGTCCCATTTGGGGGGTTCCCGTTGAAATCGGCAAGCTGTCCATGATGAGCGCCGGCGCCGGCGGTCCCGAGTGGCCGTCGAACAGAGAAAACGACCCTGTTGGAGACGAGTCCGCCGTCCCTTTAACAAGCGGCTGTACAGAAGCTGGTACTGAGAACGAAGCTAGTGTTTCACTCTTTGGTGCCGACAATTCAACTGACACAAGGGTTTCCGATAATGTGAATGAATTTGGGGTTTTGAAGTTCGAAAATGATGAAACTAGTCCGGACGATGCAAGTGGAGGAGCTTTGGAGAATCAGCACAGTCATTCTGTTTCGAGAAAAAATGGTAATGGCGAGGAGAGTACTGACGCACGCGATGGCAAGTATGCGGGTAAGAAAGCAAAAGGTGCAGTTGCCGATTACGATTTGATTTTGTCTGAGTTTGATCACTTTGCTGCTAAAGGGTCTTCTGAAGCTGTTGGAGTTGGATATGAAATTGGGGATATGGTGTGGGGCAAGGTGAAATCCCATCCATGGTGGCCTGGTCACATTTACGATGAGGCATTGGCTTCTCATTCTGTTCAGAGAAGCAAGCGGGAGGGCCATGTGTTGGTAGCGTTTTATGGAGACAGTAGCTACGGGTGGTTCGAACTAGAAGAGCTAGTTCCGTTTGAAGAGAACTTTGCTGAGAAATCCTGGCAAACTTCTTCGCGAGCTTTTGTTAAGGCAGTGGAAGAGGCCGTGGACGATTTGTCACGAAGAAGGGGCCTTGGTTTGGCCTGCCGGTGTAGAAATGAGTTCAACTTCGGACCTTCGAAGAAGGAGGGCTACTTTGTTGTAGATGTCGGGGATTCTGAACCTGGGGTTTTCTCTTTGCGTCAGATAAAAAAAGCAAGAGACGATTTTCGGCCAAAGAAAATGCTTTCTTATGTCCTACAAATGGCCTTGACACCCATGACTGACCAGCATTGGACAATTGATTTTATCAAGAACAAGTCCACAGTCTTAGCCTGCAGGAAAGCACTTTTTGAGGAGTTTGATGAAACATATGCACAGGCCTTTGGAAGTGTACCAGAGCGCCCTACTCGACCCACTAGACCAATAGCTGTGGATCCATCTAAAGGTAACTTTTTATTGTGCTTCCCCATAATTTTATGGTTTTATTCCTTGTGAAGTCTCTTTGCCCTTAAGCTTTTGTGTCTTATTAATCCGTGAAAGAGGCCTTTATCATGTTTGTTAAGTTGGCATTGTAATACCATGAGAGGCAAGGCATGTACCTTTGTGGATGAGATGAAATCATGGCGTCATGTATATTGGAACATATATTGAAAGGGACTTATGTTTATTGTCAATTTTAGTAAGTATGGAAAAATGTATTGGATACTACGAAAGGGAAAACTGGAAGAGTGCACTTTACTGCTTTGAGGGTCACATGACTATGCATGAGTATTGTGGATGTGGAGCTGCTGACGGTATCTAAATTTTTCACGTTCACCGGTTTAGTTTTGTAATGTCATTTGGAAAGCCATGTTGCTGCAGATATATAGCTGAAACTGGGTATAAATAAGCTTCAAAAGTTGTAAAATGAGAAATGTGAAAGGTTCTGACTGCATTTGTTGTGGAAGCATTGTGCTGCAGGTGCTAGCTTATCAAGTTGAATTCAATTTAAGCCCCCTTATGTATTTATAAAGAAAATTTGCCCAATTGTTGATATTCTTTGAATTACCATGTTAAATCCTTATTGTGGAGAATGTAGTCGTGGATAGTGGTTTAATTGTTTGGTCCTTATTTTTCAGAAAGCACTTGTGTATGTTTTAGATCTTGTTTACCGATGAGCCTAATGTGGTACATTGTGAAGGTTACGATTGTCTACCAGCTTGTCAGCAATGACTATTGACCATCTGTAATAACCTTCTAACTTGGCATCTTTTAGTTGATTGGATTTTCTTAAAGTTCTTTATTATTTTCTTCATAAACAAGCACCTGTTTGTGGTGTTTATCACGTAGGCAGCGAATTTTCTAGTCCATCCAAGTCATGCTATCTTTTNATAACCATCGGGGGTAGATCGCATCAAGTTAATGATTCTCTTCGTTTTCAATTTTTTTTAGGTTCTGACTAACTTTATTTCATTTTGTTTACTATTCTCTCTCTCCTCATTCTCTTTCTGGTGTTGTCATTTGCCTGTTCCTCTCTGGTATTGAGTTGGAATATCTTTCAATGCTCAACTTTTGTGAGCACGCCACGTCTATTCAATATTGTCGACCATTTTCTTAATTGTGGTCTACATCTCATGTTTCTCGTACATTCTCTGTTATGGCAGCTCCTTTGAGTGGCCGACTGGTGTTTGCCGACACGCTTGGCAAGGATAAACAACAATTCATAAAACCATCTAAAACGAAGGACCAACTGGAGAAAGACAAATACCTTTTTGTTCGACGGGATGCGCCAGTTCACGTGAACAGCAAAAAAACAAGTTTTTCGGTCCAATCAGAAACCGGTGGTGTCAAACCTTTTGAAGGGCCCAGAAAATCGGTAGGTGTACAGATTAACACCAAGCGCCAAATCGGGGAATTGAGTGAAGCAAATGTAACGGTGAAACAGAAGAAGAAGAAGAAGAGAAAAATCGAAATACAAAAGGTAGGCAGTGCGAAAATTGTACGAACACCTCTTGCTACTAACAGTGACAGTAAAGGAGCGGTGGAAAAAGTTTCCTCAGAAAAAATACTCGATGACAGAAAGAAGGATTTTGCCGTCAATTCCTCCATATCTCCTTCGGAAGCACAGAAATCCGCCATCGACCTTCCGTTTCTAGTGCGTGAGCTGCGAACTCTTGCTCTCGACTCCAGACACGGAGCCGAGAGGGATAGCTCATCGTCAATCCTCTCAGTCTTTCTAAAATACCGATCTCTCGTGTTCAAGAAGAGCTTGGCTTCGCTGCCTCGAACCGCGAACGAGACCATCGAAGCTCCTCACGCCACCACTCAACAACCTCCTTTTCATGGTCCTATCGATAATAAAACCAACGATAAAATGATCACGAAGCTTGCACGACCTTCTCCGAGACCTATCGATGATCCAACAAAAGGCGGAAAGAAGCGGGACCCGTCCGAACGTCCGGTAACCATAAAGAACAGCAACAACAACATCAAAAGGATGAAAATCTCCGGCGGCTCGGAAGATATCGAGAGGAAAACGATCAAGAAGAGAATAATAATAACAACAGATGACTCTAAATTCCACACGAAGGAGACTGTTGCAAGAAATTTTCCACCGAAAGTGATGAAAGTCGAGTCGAAAAAGAGGGCAGGTGAGTCGAAGACGAACTCGAACTCGAACTCGAATCCGACCATGCTCGTCATGAGGTTCCCTGCAGGTTCAGCCCTTCCGTCGGGCCCGCAGCTGAGAGCCAAATTCGCCCGTTTCGGCCCGCTCGACCTCGACGCCACTCGAGTCTTCTGGAAGACCTACACTTGCCGACTGGTCTATAGGCGGCGGGCAGATGCAGAAGATGCGCTCGATTTTGCCTTGGGAAGCGAAAACTTGTTCGGGAGCACAAATGTGAGGTGCCACGTCAAGGAGGTTGGGATCGAGCCGCCTGCAGAGCCCGAGCCACCTGTCAGGGTCAAGAAGGAAGGTGGAGCCCAACGGGCCACCGCAGCTGAGAAATCAATACAGCCCAAATCGATCTTGAAGAAGGTGGTGTCGGGTGACGAGGGCAAAATCGGTATTAATGGAAGTAGCAAAGGTACACGTGTAAAGTTTGTTCTTAGTGGCAAGGCTCAGGAACAACAGCTTACTAGTTTACCTGTGGGTTCATCATCATCTCATATTAACAATAACTCACATTCATCCATGGATTGTGCTTCTTCTTCATCTTCTTCTGGTGATAAAAATTGGCCCAAATTTTTACCAAATTCGCAGACCGTTGTTACTCGTCAGTTTGAAAATTTCGCGATGAATGTGATTAGTGGCGAGCCTCTATCCAACAACACGTCTCTCGATAAACCTCCTCCACCGAGTAGAGATATTTCGCAACAGCTTCTCGATTTAATGGCTAAGTGTAGTGATGCGGTGAATCTTGTGTCGGGAGTATTGGGGTATATGCCGTACCACACTCTTTAGAGAGGCTTTTTTTTTGGATTGGTTTAAGTAGTGAGGGAGGGAATGAAAGGACTTGTCGAGAGAAACTCTGAAGAAGATATGGAAAACTAATTAAAAAAGGAGCAACTTTTTGAGGTCCCGGCAAGAAAGTTCAGTGGAAATGAATGAAAGAGTTGGGCTGAATTTACACATACGGACTTGGAATTTGCTCAACAAGTTGGTTTAGAGGTGATTATTGAAGTGTCATGTTTGTTTGCTGCTGTCACGTTTTGTTACATGGCGAGAATTGTTGCATCTCCTTTATATTACTTAAGTTACACTTTATGTAGTAATGCGTTTCCTTTTGTATTTGAACGGAAAATAGATGGGAGTTGAGAGTTTCTACAACTTAAAACGAATNCAATTATAATGAAGTAAACATAGATTCAATTTAGAAAATATGTTCTCAATGTAAGTAAAAAGTGGTTTCGATCTAGTTGACGTGACAGTAAAAAATGAATTTCGATGCGTTTCCTTTTGTATTTGAACGGAAAATAGATGGGAGTTAGAGTTCTATAACTTAAAAGAATTAAAAAAAAAAATTATAATGAAGTAACAACAGATTCAATTTTAGAAAAAATGTTCTCCAAGGACCAAGGTAAGTAAGTAAAAGTGGATTTCATCTAGTTGATGTGACAGTAAAAAATGAAAATTCGATCTATCCCATAATAACTTTTAATCGTCTTATTTTTATTTATTCATTTTAAATAAATCCAAGTAATAGTGGATTAGATCTTGTTGATGTGCTAGTAAAAAATGAAAATTCGATCTATACGACTATACCATAATAACTTTTATCCAATTGTCTTATTTTGATTAATTCATTTGAAATAACTGATATTTTAATGAAAGTGAAAATTTGCTAGTCATCTGTAATTTTATGTCTCGCGTTATCTCCAATTTTTTGCGTTTGGTGCAGCTTATTCCATGATGGTACAAATTTGAAAATCATCTCCAACAATTTTATACATAATTTTACATATACATACAATACTTTTTATTATTTTCACAAAAAAATTATCATTGAAAATCAATTACCCTGGTATTACAAATAAATATTAGCTAAATAAAAGTTTATTTCATATTCCACTACATATTTATTATGCGCTATAATAAATGATGTGAAAATCGAATAATACAACAAATGATATAATATATTTATGTTTCTAACTAAAATATATAATAATGTATGTCTATATATCACAAAGTATGTTGTAACTTGTAAGCAAGTTAACATTTTCGGTCGCATATCATCAGGATTGAAAAGTCTTCATCTGCACACGAAATGATAACTATCTTTCCCAGGAGCAAAAAAAGTTCGAAAAAAGAAAAAAGAAAAAAGTAAAGAAATGAAGAACCCTCAAAAGGTCACATATCTGGATTGGCTTCTTCAGGAGTTACAGTCAATATTTCGGTAACATTATTCGCTCGTTTCACAACAGCTCTCAAAGGCTTCCCAACTTTATCTCCCATAGCTTCGATCACCTGAAGAAATAATTAAGTTCGATGATACAATAAGTTCAAGTGAAAGAGAACATTAATCGTTCATAAAATGTAAATTAGTAATCGGGCGATTGAAATACATAGGCTATGATAAACTAACTTATAGCTTTTAAGTGAATTTTGAGCTTTTAGCTGATAGCTTATGATTTATGGCTGAAAAACTAGCTTATATGATAAAAGTATTTGGTAAAATTAACTGAAATAAAAATTTCAATTGACTTATTTGAAAAACTACTCAAGGAAACTGCTTATGAGATAAGCTCGAGCTTTTTAAAAAAACTCTCTCAACCAAAAGTTTATTTGAATACAGGAAGCTTATAAACTACTCAAATAAGCTACAAGTTAGCTTATATGCTTACCGTAGAGACAACAATCCAACCAACATAAGGATATGAATTTACAAATTACGCAACAAATATTCGTATGTTATTTACCTCTTTAATGCTTCCTACAGGCTTTCCTCCAAACTCAACTAAAACATCTCCAGGATGGAATCCAGCACGATCGGCTGGCGAACCTGGGGATACCTGTAAAAGAAACTCTGGTTTTTATCTATTGATTGTGAATATATATATATATATATATTTAAATAATAAAATAAATAAATAAAAAGAAAAACTACAACTTTTGCAAGCAGCAAAACCTTACAGGCATGCATTAAGTACTAGTGTAACCTATCACTTGAGGGATATCTTTGATTTTTCATTATAATGATTTTTGCTCACTTATGATATATCACCTTTATTATTATCTACAGTCTAATTTCTTGATTTGTCCTTCCAGGCTAGGAAGAAAGTAAAGCAAAGCCACATATGAAAGTATTGATAGCACCATATAAGATAGAAAGCATGCAATAATCATGCATCTGATCGAATTTATTATGAGACCAATGAAGTCCAAAGGATTCGCTTGTTTCGAGTACAAAGAAACAAGCTTTCTTTCTCTTCCGGAAAATAAATCAGATCAGCAAACATGATTAACAACTTTATATGCATAAACATATAGAATTACATGAAATTGTGGAAATAAAGAAAGAGTAAATGATTATAGATACTCCAATTTATAAACAAGAACAACCCTTCGGTTTTGCATTACTCCAACAATTAATTTTAAACCATTATGATCCTTCGATGTGCATATTATCAGCATTGCAGAAATTATATAACATTAAAAGACTGGAGAAAGTGAAAACTTTGCTTACCAAATGTAATCAATTGTGGATGACAAAGGGCACGAACATGGAAATTGCATCGATTGAATACCAAATTTTTGATGTAATGTTATTGTATTGGCTATTATATTGATTGATTTCGTGAATATCAACATCAGCAACCACTATTTCCAACATATATCTCATGCCACCAATAACCTTTCAGTAACAACTATATCATCAGATGATGGCTTCACAAATTAGCAACCATTATAATTTATATTGAGCATACTGTTAAAAACACATTTGCAAGTTTATTTAATGGGGAGCAAAGATCGCATGTCTTGCGAAACACTACCGAAACAAGAAAACGAATTCAAAACAAACACAAATAACTTAGAAAGAAAGAATAATTATTATGAAAAATATGTTTATGTATCTTTATAACTAAATATCTCACCACCGGTATAAGAACTCCTTTGCTGACGTCCGGAAAGGAAACATTTTTCTCTTTGAGATGATCAATGATCATGTGATTGAGATCAAGCATTTTCAAACCGAGCCAAGGCCGAACAACTCTCCTGTATGATACAATGTATGATACAATGGATAGTGCTGATGTAGTCATAATAATAATAATAATAATAATAATAATAATAATAATAATAATAATAATAATAATAATAATAACACTCTCCTGTATGATACAATAAACTATTTGCATCATTACCTATCTATCTAGCTTTCACACACACACACACACATATCGAGACAGCATACCCGTTCCTTTTGAAGTGCTCGACTATTTTTGAAACAGAATCAATAGGAACAGCAAAATTTAATCCATCAGCTCCCAACACTTTCATAATATTGACTCCTACAACTTCCCCATCAACATTGACAAGAGGTCCGCCTGAATTACCCTGAAAGAACGGCACATCCATTATAAAGCCATCATTCATAACAATGCACAATAAAATAGGTTTTGGCTGTAAAAGATCAAATCCAAGATAGTGTTCCACATGTTCAATATCCTCTTTTGAACATACACTATCAGGATAAGTCGTGAAAAGGAATATGAGTGACATGAACCATTGTCCTTCCAAAGATTACTAATCATATATGTATGTTATACTCACTTAAACAAAAAAAATAAAGAAAGAAATCAGTCACAAATTTGTGGCACCAATGCAGAACTGCAACCAAAAGATAAGCAAAACAGCAACCGTCACAAACGTTTATCTGAGAAATGCAAAAAACACCTCAAGGCCGAATTGAAAACTTAAAAATAACACGTGAAAACACATAGAAATGAAGTCTCCACAAGCAGGCAAAGAAGAGAAAACCACCTGATTTATAGCACAATCAGTCTGCAAGTACTCCCTGTGCATGCCTCCAAGGCCCAAGTCACTACTTTTACGGTCGACACAACTAGATGCAACAGAAAGGCATCAGAGGAAATACGCAAACTTTCTGGATTAACTCATAGCTACATATTTCAGTTTAGCATGAGAAAACGAGGATTACACACATAAAACATACAGCAAAGTCGAACTACCTTACAATACCAGCTGTAATTGTGTTCTGAAGGGTAAGAGGACACCCCATAGCCAACACCCAGTCCCCAGGGCGAAGCTTTCTCGAATTCCCAAGTTTAGCAGCTGGAAGTGGAGTTTTGGACTTGATCTTCACTATTGCTATGTCAGAATGTAAATCAGCATTCACCACTGTACCCTCAAATGACCGACCATCTTGCAAAGTCACTTCAACCTGCCACAATAATCAACTTAGGTAGGCAAAGTATCTCTACATGTTTATGTTTTTATTTGTTGATCGTAATTAACACATGTTGCGTGTCTGTTTCATACAGACAAAAAAATAGCAAGCTTACGCCACATACATCATTGCAGAATACACAACAGACACCACTAAAAAACCAACAAGTTAACTTTAACTAAGTCTTATAGGGATGACGAATTATAGATAATTAAGAGTCATACACGACATTTGTTAAAGCTTTCTGCGTAGAGGTGTAATGAAAGTGGCTATTTCAGATAAGATAAGCTATGTAGTTAACAGCTTAGCATAGAACATTATAGCAACATATAGCAACTAGATTTATAAACCAGTTCACAGAATCACAGTGCAAGATCCATTTAAACAAAAAAAGAAAAAAAAAAGATAAAAGAAAAATAAAATTTGAGAAGATGCCAGTATACTTGGAGCTTCTTGTGTCTGTACCCAACAGAAAAAGGAAACAGCTTGAGCACTAGAATAAAAGAATATAAGAGATCTCATAGGACAGACCTTTCCCTTAGATGAAGTCCTTAATCCTTGAAAGTCAACCACCACGTGGGCACAAGTCAAGATAGTACCATCCTTATCAATAATAGTTCCGGAGCCAATACTTTTACCCACAGTCATACCATGAAAACCTACCCACCAGAAAATCAAAACTTAACTACGGATACACCAAAGATTGGAAAAACACACACACACAGACACACACACACACATGAAAAAAACTGATGATAGTTCAAAAAAGAATAACAATTATAAAAGGAAAATGACGAACTGACTTTGAGGTACTGACAAATTAACAACAGAAGGACCAATCTTGGCAGCGGCATTTGCGATTGTATCGCGGCCAAGGCAGTTGCATGAATTGCATGAAGGTTTCGGGCTATCTTCAGCATCTATTGCAGCTCCTTTACTTATGCCAGGATCTGGGATAGCATCTGGCTTTGAGAAAGATAGCGGGATAACACCTAAAATTGAATTCACACATATAAATACTCAGAGAACAGAAAAACATGGGTGGATGAAGCAAGACACAAGGACCACTAATAAAAACTGCTATACCATATTGTGAAGGGTTGGGACGAGTAAACACAAAATGATGGTTATTCTTCTCATTTGTTCCACGGGGCCATGTTAAGGAAGTCCTAAAGTGCGAAGGGATTGAAACTGATATCGATGCATCTACACGGCAAACATACAAATAAAAACATATAAAACAGAATTCCGAGCACAACCCATTAACTCAACAATGATAATTAACAATAAACGAACATCTTTGGACTCAATTAACTACTCACCGTAATCCGAAGGCGCCGTGTAGCAAAATATTCCTGAGCCAGCAGTCGCCAGGGCCACCGCACGAACGAGAGATGCTTTGTATGAAAACTTCCTCTGCGCACACAAACAAGAAAACAGTGCTTTTAAAACAGGACAACTTGCACGAGATTTCTCACAGAAAATTCAACAAACACTTTGCAGGCAACTTGAATTTTGTAGCTCTTATGTCGCAGAGGTGATGGAATTTAGAAAATGGAAGCGATTAATGGAAAAATGCGTACCAGAAATTGCATCATCAGTTCACAGGGTAATGTTTATGGTGATCAAATCCAGGTGAACTTCCAGAAACCGCACTGTTTCAGTGGAATTCTATTGTTCGTTAATTCGTTTGTTTTGCTACTTTGTTTAGTTCTATTATGTACGTCGCGGAAACGCAGTAGGAATTTGGAACTGACTTGGGGCGGAAGACAAGTATGGGCCTGGCCCAACTGCCATTTGTAATCCGATAAAAATTGGAACTGGACTGGGGTGGAGAACAAATATGGGCCCTGTTCCAACTTCTCACTCTCATTTCTATCCACAAAATTAATTATATATTTTGTAATTTATTTATTTACCTATATTTTATTAATTAAATAAATATTAATTAACGAAACAAAAATAAGAATTTTTTGTTGACTCTCATTTATGTTTGACCATATCATAGCGGAAAAACATAAACATGAAAGACAAAATTTTGAAAATTTTGAGAATGAAAACGGGATCACGAGAGTTGATGTTAGGAAAGTTGCACTAACAAGTCATCAAAAGTCAAACAAATAATCAAAAAAAGTCTCATAGAAAATCTCACACACAAGCCTTTTTGGATTCTTAATGTAATTGTATCTGAAATGTGATAGTGTTGTTGAAACACCATGAAATTTTTCTGAATTAAGAAGCTGTAAATCACTGGGCTTTTTTGTGTTAAGTCGACTTAATCATTACTTCAAAATAATCTTTTTATAATTTTTTATATTTTTACTAGAAAAAGTCATACTTTAAAAAGCAACACAAAGAAGAACATGATATTTGAATAAGTATGTAATAAAAATACAGACATTTAATAATATAATTATACATTATTCAATATATCGGGTCAAGGAGCAAAACAATTCAACCGTCTCGTATAGTTAGAAATGTTGTTAATTTCAGTCGAATGATTTAGACTGTTTCGTATAGTTGGTAAAAATTATTAATTACTCTACCCTAATTCAGAATGTATCGATCTGTATGGTGTTTTTTTAATCATGTGTGTTGAATTATGGTGCTTCGTAATTTATATATCAATTTATGGTCATTTGGAATAGTGAATACTCCATACAAATCTGAAATCATGGTGTTTCGTAATCCTATATGTCAATTTGTTGTGCTTTGGAATAGTCCATTTAGATCTGGATTTTATCGATAACACTTAGACTAACTTGAAGTATAAATACAATTTAAAAAGTAATAAATTTGTAATTTTTATTAGTATTTTTATATATAATATATTACAATGCTTATATTTTGTCGAATTTTGATTTGATATACACAATGCACATATATATATATATATATATATAAAGTAAATAAATAATTATTATTTGAACCATTTATTAATACCAATTAAAAATTAATAGAATTATATATCAATTGAAAAATCTTTTTTTTTGATAAATTTATTGCATATGAATTAGAAAAACTATTATAATATAAGACCGGCAAATATAGAAGTGAAAAATATTTCTTACATTTTTGTAACTAGCACTCGTATGATTATTGATGTTGTATTAGTGGTATTCAAAGTTATATGACCCTTCACTCCAAATATAGAATGTAATACTCAATAAACCACATTTGGAAAATCTAAATTTAATAATTATCCATACTATATTATATTAATAATTATCCAGATTATATTATGCTATTATTGGATAAATTATTAAATTTACACTAATACATTTTGCAAAAAAGAAGGAAAAAAATCAGAAGAGGAGAGAGAGACGTTTGATCCCATTTACAGCGAAATTTATAAAACGCCAATCGCTCCCGGATCACCGGCGTCCGCCGGCACCGTCTTCTCACAAATACCCACAAGCCGACGTTGAATGTTCTCTGACCCAATTCATCATTTTCGAAGCTTCGGTGGCTCATTCGGCGTTTGCTCGATTGTTATGACTGATCTATTCCGGTAGCCTAGCGAGCTCCGGCGGTGAACCACCGAGTGTTCCGGTGTGCGAGGTGGGGCCCTCACGCGATCTGAATTATAATAATGTCGTCGTCGTCGTCGTCCCAAACCCTAGGCGGCGCGTCCCGCTGCGGCTGGGTGCTCGGCCCCTCACTTGACAAGATCATCAAGAACGCCGCCTGGCGTAAGCACTCCGGCCTCGTGTCCGCCTGCAAATCGGCGCTCGACAAGCTCGACTCCCTCGCCGATGACTCCTCCGATCCCTCATCCTGCGCCCCACTCTACGGCCTCACCCCCTCCGACGCCGAGTTCCTGCTCCAGCCCCTCGTCATGGCTCTCGACTCCGGCTCCGTTAAGGTCATCGAGCCCGCCCTCGACTGTGCCTTCCGGCTTTTCTCATTCGGCATCGTCCGCGGCTGCGAGATCAAGGACAGCGCTTCCTCCATCATCTTCCGCCTCATTGACTCAGTCTGCAAGTGCGCTGCCGTCGGGGACGAGGCCGTGGAGCTGGCCGTTCTCAAGGTCCTGCTGTCCGCCGTCCGGTCACCATGCATCTACATACGGGGAGACTGCCTCGTCTATGTGGTGAGGTCCTGTTACAATATCTACCTAGGCGGGCGCAGTGGGACCAATCAGATCTGTGCCAAATCTGTTCTTGCGCAGATGATGATTATTATTTTCACCAGGGTTGAGGAGAATTCCATGCTTGTTGACTTTAAAAATGTTTCTGTGTTCGAATTGATGGAGTTTGCTGATCGGAATCTTAACGAAGGAAGCTCCATACAGTTTGCTCAGAACTTCGTCAGTGAGATTGTGGAGGCTAAGGATAGCCTTCCATATGTGAAGTTGCCCTTGCATCTGCAGAATGGTTCTGATTCGAGCCCTAAAGCCAAAAAAACTGACAAAGAGAATGGGAAGCCTGTGGATGAAGGTGCTGATTTGAGTGAATACAGTAAGATCAGGGAGGATGGGTTTATGCTCTTCAAGAATTTATGTAAATTGTCCATGAAGTTTTCCTCACAGGAGAATCCTGACGATCAGATTCTTTTGAGAGGGAAAACTCTGTCCTTGGAGCTTTTGAATGTCATTATGGGCAATGCTGGTCCGATCTGGCACTCCAATGAGAGGTGAGTGCTAAATCTTAAAAGTTTTATGCACTAACTGTGTCCCCTGTTGAATTCATTTGTAGTTTTTATGTCTTGTGAAGTTAATTGAGTAAGATGTCTTGAATTAGCATTTTTCAAGCAGAGGCAAGAATCACCGGGGAGTAAGCACTCTAGGGAGAACCTGAATTTGTTTCATTAGTTTAGATTAATGTGAATTTAGTGCTCCTGTACAGAGGATATTGAGGGATCATAATCTCAGTAACATATGACACCTTTTCTGCATTATTCCATGATTCGTGATTCTGACATAGTGTAATGTAAGCTATATTTACGGTATAACTATGAGGAAGAGCAGAGATATGGATCTAATCCTTTATGTGGTTTTTGGGGCTTTTCAGGGTTGAGAGTATGAGATGACTGATATATCATGCATATCGGATGTAATAATGTTTTTATAGTTTGTGCTGAATAACTGATACGTCTTTTCTTTGCAGGTTTCTTAATGCGGTCAAGCAATATCTATGCCTGTCGCTGTTGAAGAACAGTGCTCTATCTGTTATGACTGTTTTTCAGCTTCTTTGTTCGATATTTTGGCACTTGCTATCAAAGTTTAGGTCCGGGTTGAAATCCGAAATTGGGATTTTTTTTCCAATGCTGATTCTTCGTGTACTGGAGAATGTTCTTCAGCCAAGTTTCTTACAGAAGATGACTGTATTGAATTTACTGGAGAAGATTGCTCAGGACTCACAGATTACTATTGATACTTTTGTCAACTATGACTGTGATGTGGAGGCTCCAAACATATTTGAAAGGTACAAACAATTAGGTCTAGATATTCTTGTTACCTTTCCCTGTTAACTTTATTCTTTATGAAAGTATTTGTTAAATATACTTCCGGACCCGCTTAGTACTACTGAAGACAAAACCATGATTCTATTAGTTGCTGTTTTGCAATTATTCTATTTGCTGGGTTCTGTATAATGTGCCTGTGATTTAATACAATGCTTGAAACAATATAAATTATTTGACATGCATCGAGAATGAATCTCTACTTTTGGCCTATGCTTTAACAACTGAGCAAACATCATTGAATTTTGATAAAAAGTTTATGTACCATTCTTTTTTTGGCAATCTTATATTTTCTAACCTTAGAACTATTCAGTTACTCTGAAAGAACTGTGGAAGTTGGCATTTGGAAGGTGCGGAATAGATTACTTTGCACAAACCTTTTTTTGTAATCTTTAATCATGAGGAGGAGAAGTGTGAGGTAGAAAATATGATTTGATTAGTCCATGCCTTCAATTTTCGTCTTAATTTATATATTGAGCATTTGTTAGCTCAGAATGCCAGATCTAGGTGTGGGACTTTGTATAAGGAAATTACTCCGACTACTCTAAATTATCTATGATGTTTTTGAAATAGGAACTGTCTTCTAGGTCTGGCAATGTAGATGAAGATGTATGCTTTCTGTGAAGAGGACACACTTTCTCCTCACGAAAAATGACAATATCTTTTCTGCCCTTCAAATTTCTTCAGGGATTTTCTCTGTTTAATTTTTCTGCATGTAGCTATAACCTGTAGTGCAGTGGATGAAGATAGATAATCTGGAGATCAGACTTCCATGCGCATCATGATGTTCAGAATCTTTGATCCTAATGACCCAATATATTATGATGAAACTTGTTTTTTTCTTTTCTTTGTGGGGAACTGAAACTGTACTGTTTCCTTCATTTATTATGCTATTTCGTTGAGCTTCTATTTCGTAGCCACTCTGTTACTTGTTCATGTTATTGTGTGTAGCTTTGACCAAATAATGAACCATAAGTCTGACTATGATTTGGTTTAGTGGTTCTAGTTTTCTTCATCGTGGAATGTTTTCATAAATTGGTTGGTAAAAAAAATTGATTTAGTAATCCTTTAAAGACAACGTGAGATGATCAGTTGCTTGTTTTTCATTTTCCCCAAGTCATTTCACACGAGACAAATATTTCCTATTGTTAACTTTGACGTTGTATGTGAGGTTTGATATGCACTTATTTGAGAGTATCTGCTGACTCACCGTTTTTTTGTATATTAAATACCCTTTCCACTCATAATTTGGAAATTATTCATATCATTCGGAGGTGAAACTATTATCCTTGATCTGATTTTTCTTCTAATACAACTGCCCCATTAACCCTGTCAAGTTGTTTCTGTTCCCACATTTTTTTGGCTTGGTTTACTAGTTTTATTAAATCTCTTACTGTTAGTTCCTTTTGGTGTAAATTCCCTTCTTTATTCCGTGAAGTATTAGATACATTAATTTTGTTAGTTATTTGCAGGACTGTGAATGGCCTTCTGAAAACTGCTTTAGGCCCACCGCCTGGTTCTGTGACCTCATTATCTCCTGCCCAAGATACGACATTTCGTCATGAATCAGTAAAATGTCTGGTTAGAATTATTAAGTCAATGGGTTCATGGATGGACCAGCAGCTCAAAGTTGCAGAACCTAATCCTCCAAAAGTTTCTGAGAGTGAAAACTTGACTGAGAATCACGCTTTCGTTGTTGATGATGCAAATAGTTCTGATCATGAACTGAACCCAGAAGCAAATTCTGAACATTCTGATTCTCCAACCTTGGAACAGCGTAGAGCGTATAAATTAGAAATTCAGGTTCGGTTATGATTTACACTTGAACACAAATGGTCTCAAGATTTTAATGACATGGGCTTGATTGGATACAAAATTTTTCACCCGAAGTGGATTTTTTTGGTTAACTAGGGTTAATTTGAAAAAATATGGTATGTTGGTCGTTAGTGGGATTTTGAGTTTATATTAAAAGGATATGTAAAATAAAATAATTAAAGTTGATTTGATGTAAAAGTAGGAGAGGGATGATACGAATTGATGGTTAATTAAAATTATATGAGTGGATGAATAGTGAATTAAAGTAGAATAATAGATGTGATGTGTAAAAATGATTGAGTCATAATTTAATTAAATTGATAATATTGAAGATAGTGTGGTTGAGTTAAATTTTGAATTGGATGAAATTTGGAGTGAAAATTTTTGTATCCAATCAAGACCTGCATTATGGCTGATTGCCACGGTACCACAAGAATATATCATTGTGTAATACTTGTATTTTTTTTTTTTTTGTACATTAAATACATATTATTGTAAATTTTCAAGCCTATCATTTGGATAATAACTTTCAATATATCACTGTAGTGACTATATCAATGTAATAAATGCAGAAAGGTGTTGCACTGTTCAATAGGAAACCGTCCAAGGGAATCGAGTTCTTAATAAGTGCCAAAAAAGTGGGAAGTTCCTCAGAAGAAGTGGCTTCTTTTCTCAAAAGTGCTTCGGGGCTGAATGAAAGTATGATTGGCGATTATTTCGGTGAAAGAGAGGAATTTCCTATGAAAGTCATGCATGCGTATGTAGATTCCTTCAACTTTGAGAATATGGGCTTTGCTGAAGCAATTAGATTCTTTCTGAGAGGTTTCAGGTTACCAGGAGAAGCGCAAAAGATTGACCGCATCATGGAAAAATTTGCTGAACGGTATTGTAAATGTAATCCGAGTGCATTCACCAGTGCCGACACGGCTTATGTGCTTGCTTACTCAGTCATCATGCTCAACACTGATGCACATAATAGTATGGTAAAGGATAAGGTGCATTTCAGATCCTTTTTTTCTAGCTGAAAATGAGTTCTCTTTTGTTCTTTCATTATCGAAATTTCAACATTTTTCCTTTTTTCCCCCTATTTTGGTTTTGTCAGAAAGGGAAAACGATATGCAACCATTGGTGATTTATTTGTTTTACTATTTACAGAATAACGTCCTCAATGAAGATTTTGATTTGAGGATTTTATATGCAGTCTCTTTGTTTCTACTCTTTTCCAAAGTGTGGTCTGCAATTTGAAGATGTGTTTCTAACTTGCTAAGAGAAAGGGTTGGAGCATATTTCATATCTTACTTTGTTCACTTATTCAAATCATGAGTGGCAGTAAAACCAAAAGCCAATAACTCAGACTGGGTCTGATACATTTTTTATTTACTTATGAACTGATGGAATTTATTTGAACTGTTTAGGCTGTTATCCTAGATCACATTATCATTGATTTGATTTGATTTTATGAAGGAATCTTTTCTGGCTTATACTGAGTTTGGGTTTGACTGTCCAGATGACCAAGGCTGATTTCATCCGGAATAATCGAGGGATTGATGATGGCAATGATCTACCTGAAGATTATTTGGGCGCACTGTATGATCAAGTTGTAAAAAATGAGATTAAAATGAATGCTGAGCCTCTTACTCCCCAAAGCAAACATGGAAATAGCTTGAATAAACTGCTGGGCTTGGATGGCATACTCAACCTGGTCTGGAAGCCTACAGAAGAAAAACCTTTGGGTGCAAATGGATATCTGTTAAGGCATATCCAAGAGCAGTTTAAGGCAAAATCTGCAAAATCAGAGTATGATCAATTTCCATTACAGAACACTATGCCCTTTATATTCAATATCTTTTCTTTAAACCATCTGCTTTTTACCTGGTACGAAAAATCTTACATGGGATATTTATGTGTATAATCTGTTGTTTGGTGCATCATGCTGTTAGAGCCATGTAATCTGCCTTTTAAGTATCAATCTTTGTGTGTAGAGTGTAGTAATGATTATTTGTTTGTGTTTTCTGTAATTTTGATTGATTCTTGCATTTGCTTTTGAATCNCAATACTGAGGTTCATGGTTGAAGTCTGCTGGGGCCCCATGCTTGCTGCCTTTAGTGTAACTCTGGACCAAAGTGATGACAAGGAAGCTACTTCTCAATGTCTGCAGGGATTTCGGCATGCTGTGCATGTCACTGCTATGATGGGTATGCAGACTCAGAGGGATGCCTTTGTTACCACTGTGGCTAAGTTTACTAACCTCCACTGTGCGGCAGATATGAAGCAAAAAAATGTAGATGCTGTCAAGGTACTTTTCAGTTTCTTTTTTTCCTTTTTTTCACTCTTCTTGTCTAGGTTGGTCATCAATTTATTTTGGAAGTGAATTTAATTTCTTCAATGTCGAAGTGATTTCAAAAAATTCTTTTGTTTTTGGCAGGCTATGATATCAATTGCAATTGAAGATGGTAATTACCTTCAAGAAGCATGGGAACACATTTTGACGTGCTTATCACGATTTGAGCATCTGCAGCTCTTGGGGGAGGGAGCACCTTCTGATGCGTCTTTTCTTAATACTTCGAATTCTGAATCCGAAGAGAAGACATTAAAGCTCGAGAGTTACCCGTCTCTGAAGAAAAAAGGAACACTCCAAAATCCAGCTGTTATGGCAGTTGTTCGAGGGGGCTCCTATGATAGCACCTCTGTTGGAGTCAACTCCCCTGGTCTTGTTACTCCCGAGCAGATCAATAATTTCATTTCGAATTTGTATTTGCTCGATCAAATAGGGAACTTCGAGTTAAACCACATTTTTGCCCATAGCCAGCGGTTGAACAGTGAGGCAATCGTGGCTTTTGTAAAATCGCTCTGCAAAGTTTCCATGGCAGAACTGCAGTCCCCGACTGATCCACGAGTGTTTAGCCTGACGAAAATCGTGGAAGTTGCGTAAGATCCTTTTTCCCAAACTTGAAGCGAATCCCCAATTTCTTTCTTTATGCTCTCTCGAGATTTTTTTGGTGGAAGGTAAAAAAACCACCCGACATTTCTGTTTTTGCAGGCACTATAACATGAATCGGATAAGACTAGTGTGGTCTCGTATATGGAATGTTCTTTCTGAATTCTTTGTGTCGGTTGGTTTGTCGGAGAATCTTTCGGTTGCAATCTTTGTTATGGATTCATTGCGACAGCTTGCAATGAAATTCCTCGAGCGAGAAGAACTGGTTAACTATAATTTCCAGAATGAATTTTTGAGGCCTTTCACCATTGTGATGCAGAAAAGCAATTCTGCAGAGATTCGAGAGTTGATAGTTCGATGTATCTCACAAATGGTCCTCAGCAGGGTCAATAACATAAAATCTGGATGGAAGAGTGTCTTCATGGTAATTTTTCTTTTTACATGTTGATCTAGAAAGCTTGCCTGCAATTCTCAGAGTATTTGTATACAAATATATCCGCTCAAAATGAGTTCTTTTGGTTAACTAGAGATAAAATAATATTTAAAATGAGAAAGAATATTATGTTGCTTGTTTAATTAATGCCTTCCTTCTCGTCGGATCAAGGGCTATTGACCTTCACTACTATATTATGCCTCCGTTGGTACATTTATTAGATCCTTCCAATAATTACAGTTGATTTGAATCATTTGATGTAAAAGTAGGAGAGAATGATGTGAAGTGATGGTTAGTTAAAATTATGTGAGTAGATAAATAGTGAATTAAAGTTGATGTAATGTGTAAGAATGATTGAGTGATATTATTTAATTATATTGATAATATTGAGGATAGTCGTGTTGATTTAAAGTTTAGTTAGATTTGAGTTAAAAAAAATGATTGATTAAAAAAGATTGGATTTTTTAAGAAAAAAATTGTATCCAAGCATCCCCTAAGAGTTTTGCTGTGAATTTTTGTATCATAAGAGCAGGCAAGTTAGTACTTGATGTTCATCTTTAGTTCACATATGAATTAAAATCTCTTTCTATATTAATACACTGTCATAAGATATCTGCCTTTCACATATTATGTTCTACTTTTGTAGGTTTTCACTGCAGCTGCAGCTGATGAACGGAAGAGCATAGTTTTGTTGGCTTTTGAAACAATCGAAAAGATAGTGCGTGAATATTTTCCCTACATAACTGAGACAGAGGCATTGACTTTCACAGACTGTGTTAAGTGCCTCATTACCTTCACAAACAGTAGATTCAATAGTGATGTTAGCCTCAATGCTATTGCTTTTCTCCGTTACTGTGCGGTCAAACTAGCAGATGGTGGACTTTCTTGCAATGAGAAAAGTGAGGGGAATGATTCGAGCCCTTCATTACCCAATAACAATCCTTTGGATGACGAAACGGGCACGGATAGGGATGGGCATATGCATTTCTGGATTCCTTTGCTTACAGGTAAAGAATTTTAGTCGAGTATGAATGATATGGTCCATATAAAAAAATGATTTAAAATATTTAAATTTGTATGAGGATATGTGCTTTGATCGAGCACGGTGGCGACATGTGATCCATATAGCCGACACCACTTAGTGGGATTTTAACGGCTTGTTAATTGATTGATTGATTGATGAACGATATGGTCCACCCACGTGGAAATGGACCTAGGAACTATATGTACTTCCACAAATCCCCTAATGATAGACTTGTTTGCTTTTTTCCGCAGGGTCTACTAAAACATCAAACAATTAGTTGTTGGTAAAATGAAATTTACGAATATATTTTCCTTCTTACCTCCTTTTAAGTTAACAATTAGTTGGTTGATAATCATGCGAATTGGATAAAAGGTAGAGAGGAACTTTAATGTTATAGCTATGCCATAAGGAAAAGGTTATCTCTGTGGGACCCACAAAATAGTATGTTGGTGTATCTCTGTTTCTTTTTTTATGTTAGGGCGTGTGCTTGGATAAAAATATATCCGCTCAAAACGAGTTTTTTTTTTTGTTAACCAAGGTTAATTTTGAAAAAGGTGGTATGGTTAGTTGTTAGTGGGATTTCGAGTTTATATTAAAATACTATTTATATAAAATAGTTGAAATTGATTTGATGTAAAGGTAGGAGAAAGATGATGTAAAGTGATGGTTAGTTAAATTTATGTGAGTGGATGAATAGTGAATTAAAGTTGATATGATGTGTAAGAATGATTGGTCGATATTATTTACTTATACTGATAATATTGGGATTGGGGTGGAGTTAAAGTTAAGTTAGGTCTTGAGTATGGATTGAATGTGAACTGAAAAAAAAAAAAAAAATCGATAAACAAACACCCTCTTACATTCTCTAGATTTAAAATTTTCCATCATAGGCTTCTCTTGTTGGCATCTTTGCTCTTTGTGGAGAACCAAGAAACTTAATCCTACCCATGCAGCAGTTCGAGTTCTAAACACTATCATCGACTTTTTATCTTCTCAGGATTATCAAAATTGACTTCAGATCCTCGAGCAGCCATCAGAAAGAGTTCTCTTGAAGTTCTCTTCAATATCTTGAAGGACCATGGTCAACTTTTCTCGCAGCCATTCTGGGCCACTGTATTCAAAAATTCCATCTTTCCTATATTTACCTTCATCTTTGATGGTAAAGAGATAGATACAGGCAAAGATGGTAGCATTTGGGACTCTGAAACTTGTGTAGTGGCAATAGAATGCCTATCAGATCTATTTGTCCATCTTTTCGATTTGGTGAGGCCCCAATTTCATGAAGTGATATCTATAATAATAAAGTACATACGAAGCACTAGTCAAAGTTCATCAACGGCTGGTGTGTCCGCTTTGATGCATTTGAGTGGTGAGTTGAGAGGCAAACTTTCGGAAGAGGAATGGCGAGATATATTTCTTTCTTTGGAAGAGACTGCTGGGCCGAATTTGTCTGCTTTTATGAAGCTTTTGAAAACCTTGGACAACATTGAGGTGCCCGATGATGATAATAATCCACTCAATTATGAAACCGAATCTTCTTATGATCATGGGAGTGCAATTGGTGATGGTTCGGAGGATGAGAAGCTGCAGAGTGTGGCGTTTATTGTATCGAGGATGAAAACTCATATAACTCTACAGCTGCTCATAATACAGGTCTCTCTCTGTCTCTCTCTGTCTCTCTCTCTCTCAAGTTCATCCTAAAAGATATTTAGGGTTACAAGGAGGGTGTGCTTGGATATAAGTTTATGATTGGATATTTTGGTTTTGATTGGTATTTTTGTTTTGGTTAACCACAGTTAATTTTGAAAAAAGTTGATCGAGTTAGGTTAGAATGGGATTTTGAGTTTGTATTAAAATAATATTTGCAATAAAATGATTAAAGTTAATTTCATGTAAAAGTAGAGGAGAGGTGATTGAAAGTGATGAATAATTAAAATTATGTAAGTGTGGATGAATAGTGAATTAAAGTTAATGTGATGTGTAAGAATGATTGATTGATATTATTTAATTATACTAATAATATTGTGATGATAATATTGAGGATCGTGGGGTTGAGTTAAATTAAAAAAAAAAAAAAGTGATTGGTGAAAAGTGATTGAATATTGTTGAGTTTTTTGTACCCAAAATTCTTCAGTACTGTTCACATGCTTTCTTTTCACTTTTCTGTCACCTGAATTGTCAGTTAAATCTGCTAGGATATTTTTAGGAACATTTCACTGCCCAAATTTTGAGTATATGAGCTTGTCTATCATATAATAATTTTAAAAAATTAATGCAGAATAAGTAAAAACCAATACCTTATCTCACAATTTTCCTTTGTTTAACTAAAGCATTTGCAATGTTTTTATTTATTTATTTTTTTTGCCCAACATTTGCAAAGATCGGTTCTATTTTTTTACACTCTATTTTTGTACTTCAAGCCATTTCTGCACGTTTTCTACATAATTTATCTCTCGATTATTTTCTCACAGGTTGTAACCGATCTTTACAAGAACCACTGGCAATACTTTTCCTCGAGCAATATCTCTATACTTCTCGAAATTTATTCATCCATTTCTTCTCATGCCCATGAATTGAACTCCCAAACGATATCACTTCTCAAGCTAGAAAAAGCATGTGCTATCCTAGAGATCTCGGATCCACCAATCGTTCACTTTGAAAACGAGTCTTACACAAACTACTTAAATTTCTTACACGATTTACTCACAAACAATCCATCTCTATCCGAGGAAAAGAACATTGAATTAGAACTTATCTCTATTTGCAAGCAAGTCCTCGAGACATACCTTGAATGCAGTGGTTTTGGACAAGCCTCACAGAAAAAAGCCGTGAATAAACCATTAGTACACTTTCTTCTTCCTTTAGGTTCGGCTAAGAAAGAGGAGCTTTCGGCCCGTACGCCTTTAGTTCTATCAGTCATGAGGATTTTGGGCAGTTTAGAAAGTGATGCTTTCGGTAAGTACATTTCGCAGTTATTTCCTTTGTTAACGGATCTTGTTCGAAGCGAACATAGTTCGATGGAAGTTCAACGGGTTCTTAGCGGCATATTTCGATCGTGTATAGGTCCAATAGTAATGAAGTGATTTTTACTTTTTTTAACATATGATTTTTTTCCTTCTTGTTAGTTGTTGTTAGTCCATATAAGCCTGTGGGGGGCTAATTTTGTATGTGGATGCAAAAGGCATTGTTATTAATTATATGACTTTTTTTGACTCATGAGATTTCAGAAAAATATATTCAGAACCTTATTTCTTTTTTCCCAAGTATATTAATGTGCAGGAAAAATTGGAGATTTAGTTTGACACCTAATTGAGAAATAGTCTGGTGATCGCGTTGACTTTACAAAACAACAACTGTAAAAAAATCCAACTTTTGGTTCTTCCACTTTGCAAAAGTCGGTCCTTGTGACCGGTTGCTGACATGGATATTATTTCATTTTTTTCAGCAGTCGGTCAAATTGACCAGCTTTTGCCGGTGGAAGGACAAAAAGTCATTTTTTTTTTTGTAGTTGCAGGGTGTTTTGTAAATTTAACATAACCACATGACTATTTCTCAATTTAGTTACAAACCTCAATCTTGAATTTTTCATTAATTTGCATGTTCATACTTCACACACACACACATATACACACATATATATATGGACTGGACTGGTGGTACTAACATTGTACTGTTATGGTTCCTATTTTTGTTGTAGAAAGATCATTTTTCACCCTTATGAACTAGTTTCTCGCGCTTCATAGTTATATGTGTCATTTTTTTTCATATTCCTTTGTATTATTGTATATATACTATTTATGGTGCAAAATGTAATCAACCACTCTAAATTAGGAACTAATTTTATATATAAGACATTACAAATAAGTTATTTAGAGAATGATCATTGGATAAGCATCATGTGAAACGAATGTTATACTAGCTAATATTAATATACATAGAAACAAACAATTTCCACATGGGTATCCTTTTGTACTCTATAAAATTATAGACTAT